AAGTGTTGCAGGTGATTATAGGCGGCGATGGTCACTTACTATCAGGTGAGCCGCATGCTCGTTTACCCCTTGCAATATAAAAAAAAAAAAACTTCATAATATGTAAAAAAAAAAAACAAGAAAATAAACGTGATCTAAATATAAATATACTCGTAATGAGTATTTTTAATTTTTGTGTGCTCCATTCCTTGTATAGTATTTTTATACTACTATGGTGGCAAACAAGCATACAACCCGTCTTAAGGTAAACGGGGTTACCGTAGCTTAATATGCCCTCTTTAAAGAACCTCATGCTATAGTGTTAAGGGAAAACTTTGGTTGAAAGATTATTCCACAACTTAAATGTTCACGGAACTTCTCTGATATTACACTGTGGGAAACCATTCTGATTCTAGAGTATCAGGATAAATTCCCTGGCGATGGATAGCAGTGCGATAGTAAGCGGTGGCTATAGGCATCATATTGAAGAGTTCTCCAGAACACAATCCGTTATACATACTATAAAGGTTTGTTAGTAATGAGGTCTATTTGCTCCATTGCTATTTTTTGTTATACGACTTAGAATGGCAAACAAGCTGACGAACCACCTGATGGAAAGTGGTAATCGTCGCCTATAGACATGAGCAGTATCATGGACATAACAGAGTATACTGTTTCGCCCATGATACCATCCATGCGTTGCCATTCCTGAGGATTCAGGTGTTATTCCTCTGTACCCTGTAAATTCACGCCATATCCCATCCTTCAAACCGAAACACAGCCATGCAAACACAACTGCTTCACGGTAGAAACACGAATAATATAGAGGTACTCGTACCTAAGCAATCGACTTTTGTACAAAGTCTCTCTCTGGTGAAAGCAATATACCCTATCAAGGTGATCTCCAATGCGAATTTCCCTGGAAACCATCGTGGTTAATTGTAGTGGAATTCACCAGAGGGAGACTTTATGGGACAGATATGGGGACTTTATGGGGAGATAATGGGACAGAGGTACCCAAGCAAACGACTTTTGTACAATGTCTCTCTATGGTGTCTCTGGTGTGTGTGTACTTACAAAAATGTGGTATCAGGCGTATTAAAATATGGACACTACATATAAAAGTGACACTGAATATCTAAAAGATATCTGAATAGTTTTATATTACAAACTCTTTGAAACTTTTAAATCGGTAAAGCAAGTCATGTACATTAACACTTTTCAGGAGCGACCACACTTTTACTCGTTGAAAACTTTCAAGTGGTCAGCCAGTTACGTCGCATCTCAGTAGCGGACTTTATAACAGATTTGAAGGCAACAGAGAGTAGAGGGACAAGTTGGCAAAGCGGTTTAGTTCGACCGACCATTCAAAGTTTAAGAGGATTTTGGTACAAAACCGAGACTTGGATTATTTTATACGTATATTTGAAAGTACATTAGAGAACGCTTTGAACTCGGTCCGTTCTATTAAAATAACATTTTATTGAATGGTTAATAGAATCTGACAATCATGTTATATATTTATTATGACACTAATTGTTAGGTACGGCTTCATTCATTTGAATCCGTTGTATCTGCTGTCTTTGAAAAAAAAAATTTTGTGCGGGAATTCACAGATGTTCTTATGTAAAATATTAAGAGGATAAATAATATATTTAAATATAACATTAAAAAAAAAACTGAAGAAATATAACAAACTAACCGACAATACGCAGATGCAATTGTTAATTCTGTTTATAATTAAAAGGGTTAAAGTGGTAAAATAATAAAAATAAAGTAGATGTATGTATATTTTTATTTAATTGGCGCGGATTTGTATTTATGCAGATTATTTAATTTAGAGCAATTTTAGAAGCATTATTTAGTACTTGACGTTTTATTCTCATCTTGTAACAAATCTACTTTTTTATAACATTATTGCCTCTGTATCAAGTTAATTAATCTGTGCATTTTTCATTAGGAAGATAGTGTTATAGTTTTATGAATTAGGTAAATTATAGTTTCATTCATTAGATAATTTAACACACTTTTAATTAAATATTTTATATAGTCGCAGTTTGAGTGTCGAATGGTTCACACTAGACTCCGAACAGCGATGTAATAATTTGCCTGAAAACGCCTCGTTTAGAGCTAAATCGTTTAAGTTCTAAAACGCGCGTGAACAAAATGGCAGTCTGAGATTAATAGATAATATGGAAGATTGTGGAACTTATGGTAGTAATAGTGGTGGTCAATCTTCGAGTGTTGGCACTTGCACACACACTAGCTAGGTAGTGGAATTAAACAAAATAATTCTAATGAAATAACCAATGACATGCAGTTCCGCAAGATAACACCTAGTTCAGTTAAATATGACTATGTATATATATTTGTAGAAATTACTTTTAGTTTCTTTCTGCTTCGGCTAGTTAAACAATTATCTATATGTTTGTAATAGTAGTATAGATAAATAATGTAATACTTTTTTTTATCATTTTTTGTAGTGGTAGGTTTATTTTTTATACAACTTAGAATGGCAAACAAGCTGACGGCCCACCTGATGGAAAGTGGTAATCGTCGCCTATAGACATGAGCAGTACCATTGACATAACAGAGTATACTGTTTCGCTCGTGATACCCTCTATGCGTTGCCATTCCTGAGGACTCAGGTGTTATTCCTTTGTACCCAGTAAATTCACGCCATATCCCATCCTTCAAACCGAAACACAGCCATGCAAACACAACTGCTTCACGGTAGAAACACGAATGGGACAGAGGTACCCAAGCAATCGAGTTTTGTACAAAGTCTCCCTCTGGTTGGTAGGTATCGACAAACATTTATCAACTCTATTTCTTTAAAATACGGCTCAAATTTTGATTTTGTAATATATTGAGATTAATTTATTTCTTGCATAGCCACAGCTACGTTTCGTCTTGTTGCTACATTAATGGAATTGCAAGACGAAATAAAGTCGCCCCCACAGTAGGCAGCGGTAACTTAGTATTACTGAAATAAGAAAACTTTCGAGTCCGATAGGCAAAGTTGTGTTGGAAATATTCAACTTTTATTATGAATACAAGCCGCCGCACGTGAATACGTTTGCGTGAATATATGAAGAGTTAGTCGTAATGAGTATACAAACGTCCTAAATAAAATAGTGAAAATCTTAAAACACTTTTGAATTTTTCATACAACGTACGTATATTACGTGTAATAATTTTAGTATTAAAACTTGAGCGTCCCGTCATCCGTAAGTACTTTTATTAGTAAGATGGACAATCATTCTGTTAAATAGCTCAAAGTAAAAAAAAAGAAAGGCACTAATTTCAGTTTCGAGATAATTTATATTATAGAATTAACACGGAAGTAATTTTTATTTTTATTAAAACTTTTATTTATTTGTAATATAATGCTGTAGTAAATCAAACTATACTAGTATATATTCGTATTATACGTAGAGAGGTGGAAATGAGTAAAAAATTTAATATAAATATAAATATAAAACAACGTATAATTTATAGTGAAAACATTTATTCAATTTATAGAAGTTATTTACTAATTGTATTAGGTATATAGGTAGGTATAAACACAGTCGATATAATACACGATTTAATGATATTCGATGCACAAGCACTTATACTAAGATATTTGTAAATGCTTATGGTATGTCATGTCATTATATATTATAATTAGTGGTTTTCAACTGTTCTTGTTAATATATCTTATTAATGAAGAAATAAAAAAGAATAAAAGTAATAAATAACTAATAATGAAAAAAAGTAATTTATAAAATAAAAGCTGGTCGATTTATAATATACTCGTCATATTTTAAAATTAAATTTTTATTTAAAAGTTTCGAATTGAATTCTTCTTAAATTGAATATTAAGTTGTTATTATAAAAATAAGAATATTAACAAAAACAATATTATAGCACATTACATTGCGACTAGTTATATTTAAAATTATAATCATTAACAAAATTAATTATGTTTACAATATTCTAATAATATTTAAGTGCATATTTATTATATGAGCTATAACATGAACGATATTTAATAATAATATAAATATTAAAGAAAACATTGCATTATTGAAATCAGACTTTTATAAAATTTTAATGGCACGTAATGAATGATAAGCTTCTTTTAATTGCCTTCTACCTTATTTATAATAAGTATTGCATATTAGTCCGTTTGTACTTATTACTCTATATGTATGTATATCTTGTAATGTATGATAGCTCAGTCATAATGTGATTCTATTGTAAATTTATAGTAAATAGTAATATCGTGGAAATCCAGCTTGAGCCAGATATAATTTTTTTTAATAAATTTCTATATTATGTGTAAAAATTATACTAAGATATTTAGATATAAAAAAAATCTTTAAGTCTTTAATCGCATTATAAGAAGCTTAGAGCAATGACATTTTGTCAATTTTAAATTTAATTTTAATTTTCCACAATCATATTCTATAAATTAAACATTAATATTATGAGATATTTTTTTTTATATATACAATTAAAGTTGCCATAATAAATAATCTAAAAGAACTTCGATTAATACAAATAGTTTAATATACATATACATAACAGCCTATAATTTTTATACTAACCTAAATTAATATTTTTAAAAGATTAAAAGTAAACCTTCCAAAAGTAAACATAAAAAAGTGTTTAGTACAACAATTATAATTATTATAATGAAAAATATTTTCATAATTTTACGACTAGGCAGTTTTATTAAATTTTATGAACGACCAAAAAACATGACTGACAAGTATCCACTTAATATTACTTTAGTGGTTTCTTAGAAATAAAATGGCTGTTGTTTCCTTTATGTATGTATATATGTTCAAAATTTAATAAATTACGAAATATATATATCTAAGATAAATAAAAGATAATCGATTGGGAATTTTATCTTTAAAGACAAAGATATTCGATATACTTACCTAATAAAAACATAAATTGAAATACTGAATTAAAATAAAAAAATCGAAATTATTAATTATGTAAATAAGTACTTTAAGTTTTTATTAAAAAAAAGCTATAGAACCTATAGTTAAGTATTTATATTACAACCTAAAACTAAGTCTATTAGGCTATTAAACTGAGCTGTTTAATAGTCGCTCTGAGCCTGTAAGATGAATGGTGAAAACAAGAATAAGAAAGGCCATATTACGTCACACATTCGACTGATATTTACATAATTTATTAAAAATAATTGCATTAACATTAAACAATAATATTAGGTGCATAAAATTGTTTTCAAATTTTATTTACATTGTCTATTAGCAGCAAAAGTGCGCCTAAAAATTTGACTATAAATACTTATACAGTACGTCTTAGTAACATTCGATTGCTTAAGCATTATGCTTATTTTAATAGGAATCTCACATGAACACCAAGCTGTACCCACTTGATTTGAATAATCTCAAATTTTCGATACAACAACACCTATCGTCCCACTGAGACATTGTCCTTAATATATTTTATTAAGGGTCATTTTGGTATGCACATTAAAACTAACCATAGAAGCTCTAGTTCTCTCTGTAGGGTTGAGCAAATATTTCGTTCAGTAATTGTTGATATTCGTCAGCGTTGTACATGTAATCTTCGTCGTCTAATAGACCGGTCGAATTGTATCTGGAAAATAAATTAAATACATCAAGATGGTATGAGGTTTGGTGTATTAGTCTGACTTAGGTTAGATTCACAATGTAATATATTGACATTATATATGTATCGATACAGTTCGTTCTCGATATCGATATCGAGAATAAACTGTTCTCAATCCGACCACGGTCCGGTAAAATATTATCAAATCCCTTCGAGATTGATCGTGACTGGAATAGCAATGGGATTCAATCGGGACTAGACTGCTACAGATAGTATGATAGTATTGTTTCTTACGTGATAATATTTTACCAGACTAAGATTGAACCGAGAACGTCATTGAACGTGTGAATCTCTCATGAATATAAATAATCTAAAAGTCATACATTCGAAATTGGACGACAATAAAAAAATTGACAATTTTAATTAGTAGATAATTTAAATTATCAAAAGTTTTTGATGTTATCCAACTAACTCTATAATAATTACAGTAATGAAAATATTGTTAAAATGAAATCGAAATAGGATGGTATGCTTGATCCTTGTCACTTTGAATTTAAAAAAGCTTGGTGAAATGTGAGCATGTACAGTGTTAAGTTTACCAGAACGGTTACAGTCGACAAATGTCTTTCACTAATTATCCCTACAGATGACTTCTGATAAACAATCAGCTTATATGCTAGTTCTGGATATTAAGAAATGTTAAAGATGGAAACATAGTGTATGCTTTGGTATAAGTAATAGTATCAAGAAGAGAAAAGTTAGATCGAATATAATATAATTCGAGTTAAATTGTAAAGGAGAAATTTCTAATTTGTAAATTAAATTAAGAACGAAGGGATATTAGTATTTTACTGTATAAATCTCTATTTAATGCTGGTTATACGTAGTTCAGTAAAATATTTATATTTATTATTTCCTCATGAAACTTAATTGAAATTTAAATGCAGTGGAAACAAATAGGTACAGTTATTTATATTAATATCATTAAGAAAAACATAAATGGAATATTAATGCTAGTACCTCTTTGTATCTCTTTTACTTCGCCTGCTTGCATTTGAAGTAGCTTCAACGCAAAGCACTGCGAAGTGATTGTTGCAAGGATGTCTGAAACATAAAATGCATAAAAAAAACCTCTATAATGTGTTACAAAATATGAGATTAAAATAATATATTTTTTATTTATAAAAGCCTAGATTTCTTTTAGTACAGTCGACGTTAAATTAATAACTTTATAAAGTTAAAGTGATGTTCAATGTCTGAAATTGAATAATTTTATATAGAAAAATGTCATCATCATCTTCGTACCCTTATCCCAATTATTCATTTGGGGTCTGCGTAATATGTTTCCTTCTTCCATTCTTATCTATTCGTATTTTTTTCCTCCATTCATTCTCACTGGTCGTCTTTCACATAATCTATCCATGGCTTTTTTGGTCTTTCTCTGTCCTTATAGCCATCCATATTCATACTTAGTACGTTTGTTAAAACATGCTGTTTGTGGTTGCGCATCACTATTGTTAGGATTTATAGGATAGGATTACGATTGATAGAATCATGTTTGTTTTAAAAGATACATCTGTGTATGGCGGATACTAACCATTTCTCTAAGAATTATCATAAGTTATCACTTAAAAAAGCTCGAGAAACTATCATAATATATAATATCGCAGTATATAACTTAATAATATATATTTAATTATGTGTACAAAACTGAATAGTTATTAGTTAGTATTATGAAGAATTTGTCATTAAATTCATAGTTTTTATTACTTGAAAGAGGCCCCTCTTTTTAACTACTTAAATAAACATGAGAGAAATGCTAATGAAAATGATCAAAAATTTCCAGGAAATCGCGTCGACTACTTGATAAAGTACAAGAGGAAGATTTATTAGAGGAATGAACAAAAGTTTATTATTATCATCAGTTTCATGGAAATTTAAATAGTTGTGAGATTTTACCTCTCTTGTAAGAATTTATGGAAATTAATATATTATTTTGTATTTCTTACCTAAGTTGTGACATTAATTTGAGAACACATTTAAATAATTCACAGTTATTATTTGTCTTGTAGGAGTATTAGAGGGCCGTGTATGAAAATAGACGTATAAAATTAGTACTTCGCATTACTTACTTTTTTACTTATAATAATATGATATGTGATCACAATAGTTAAAGCGAATAGAGGGCCAATATGATCCTTGAGTACGATTAATTGAAAATATATTTCAATAGTTCTAGTTCTTAATTTTTTAAAGTTTGAGAATATATTTAAAATTTCATAATTCTTATAAGAGTATATAAATATTACACCTCCAACGAGAACCTGACTCCCCAATAGATTTTTTACCATTTTTTAATTAGTAGAATCTTATGTTTATTATTTGTTTTTGCATATCACAGTACTCTGTCCAAATATACATCTCTCTATATAGTTCTTTAGTTCTTAACTCTTTTATGAGAGTATTTTGAGAATATATTTAAATAATTCATAGTTCTTACCTCTCTTGTGAGAGTAGTTTATGAGAATAAAGAGAAGAGGCCATCCCTCGACTGGTAGGTTCATTAGTCTGCCATTCTTCACAGAACGCATCGAATGCACGCTCGCCGCTTGCGTGTGCGCCATGCCATATTATTTTCTGTGGCCTGATAAATATAATTACATTAATTAGATCCATACAATGTTTCATTCAATAAACCAGTTAGGTTTGTTTTGTAACAAATCAATACGAGTATAATTGAGACTAGATATATACAGGTAATGTAAAATAGTTTTTATTTTTTATGCATCTTAAAATAATAAATAAGATGATCTATTAGAATGTTGTAACAATCGCCAAAAGACATGATTATAGTATAGTATTATAATTCTGTATAACTAAGGATAGATATAATTCAAACTTCATTTATAGTGAATGACGTGAAAAAGTGCATTTCCATGGATATAAAGAAAAGGGGCAGAGGAAGATCGGTTGAATCTTGTGCAGGAGTATGCATGTAACAGGTTGATTGGTAGAGAATGCTATTAGCATCAAGTCCGCTTTTTGTGTCATGTTTTCTTTTGATTAATAAAGTTATTAAAAAAAAAAATAAACAGGTATAAAGTACGTCACAGGATTAAGAAAGTTGATCCCTAGTAAAGGGAAATAGAGAGGCAGAAAAAGATTCATAGTGAATGCAAATATCACATTACAGGACATTTTCATTTACTGTTACAATTTATATTGGTTTTACTCGCATTTTAACTTTAGGGTTGTCCGATTAGTAAGCGCTTCTATTCCGAAACTAATCGAGCAATTTCAAAATTATTACTTGAATAAAGCCGATATAAATAATTACAATACACGATTACTCTCGTTCACTATATATTATTTAACTGTAATATAATAAATATATGTTAATAATTTTAAGTGTGTAAGCGTTATTAAAGATTTCAGAGATTTTATTCACTGGTATTTACTTTTTTATTATTAAGTAATTAGTTCGTATCTGACTCAAAGGATATCTTTGACAATCCAACGTCGAAATATTGAAAGCGTTATGGGAACTTTTAGATCTGGTCCGGAACGTAAAGATTATTTTGACTAAATGTAAATTTTTTTTAAGTAATATTTGACATTATTAATATTTATTATTGTAATTTTACTAATTGTAACATAAATATGTAGTTTTTAATATGATTAATTAGTCAGTTTAAATACCATATTGTGGTCTATACATAAAATGTCATGTATTTTTCTTACCAGTGACTGTCCGTCATAATATTTTTCCCATTAAAGCTGAATATTCTCGGTGTACCGGCCATTAGACCGCCATTTCCATCGAAGATTTCAGAAAAGGATTTAAATAGGAGATCTCCTTGGGTATTCATCACAGGTAAATTTCTGTCAGAGTACCGCACTATTGAGTCTAGGTTTTGGATTCTGTAACAAAATAAATTTTCTGTAACTATTCGGTCTCCGTCGTATCAGCCCTTACATGTCCACTGCTGAACATAGGCTTCTTCTGTTGGGTGGTTTAGTTGCCATGTTTATGTGAGATATAATTAGTCAAGCGGTCCCTTACAACGAATTCTACTAAGAAACTGTGTGGAAAATATTATATAATAAGAAAAACCATAATATTCAGATGATATATATAATTTTTATTTTTTATTAATTATTTTCTTATTATATTTAATTCACCAATTAACACGACATTTCCTGTTATCACTCAATAATGCACTAAAAATTATTTGTTATCAGAATTAAGTTAGGTATTTCTAAATTAAAAATAGGTAGAGTACTCGTATATTAAACTTTCAATTAAATTTTTAGTTATTTAAGTAATCCCATTATCGACAAATATCTCTGACTATCCCATCAGGAGTTATAATTGTGAGCATATAATTTTCCTTTTTTATTAAAAAAATAATATACCAACCTGTTCGAGATAAAAGCCCTAAAAGTGCCACGTAAACCGGCTCTCCTTGCTTGTCTGTAACACGCGTAGTCAACACGTCGAACACCGCCGTGCATATTGCCCGGCATCGGGTCGTTCAGGGCAGCGAGACGAATCTGCCATCATTAAAACTATTAAGTATTCATAGACAATTAATCTATCTATAATTAATAAATAAATAAAATAAAATCATATTATTTTATTTCCTTGTTTCCATGCCCCTATATATCCTATAAGTCATAATTCAAAACGGCACAAACAAACAACAATGGTTAAATTTTACAGTAACAAATAGTAAACATTCCATAATGAACGGTTGAACAAACAAAATAATATATGAATAAATGATTGAATGAAATAATGATTCATCTGTTTTCACAAAAGACAGTAAATGAAAACAACTTAAAATAATTACTTATATATTTTTTTAAATAATGATCTATCAGTGAAATTGAATATTTTAATACAGACACGGCGTATCTGTTACGTTAGAATAGTAGGTTCAAAACATGTTTCATGGAGGAAAATATTTAGTTCTACTGGTAGAATAGTAAAAATTGGTTGGATTAAAGAATTCCATAATTGATATAATATTATATATATTTAGCTATATTTATGCATAGAAATACTTACATTTGGTCCTGAGTAGTATATGGAATTATCTACCACGTTGGATAAGGGCTGAACGTGGACTAAACTTGCAGCCGGCATCGGTAGCTTAGCTGGTGCCGGAGTAGGGGCTACTGGTACTGAAGGTGGCGGAGAATGAGTTACCAACGAACCCAGCTAAATAGAAATACGACGGAAATTATTATTAGAGTGACATTGATGAGAAAAAAAAAACTCATATTTTTGTGTTTCTTAAAATAGCGCTCTACCTGTTTCACATGATGGAATTTTTTTTCTTATAATAATTATCACTACATAGTATGACGCAACGGATTTTGATGCGGTTTTTTTGATAGATAGACTGATTCAAGAGGAAGGTTTATATGTATAATACATGTATAATATAGTAACGTGCTTTTTAGCGTGACAAAATTTTTCGAAATTGTATGTTCGTACTTTAGTCAGTATTAAGGTTAATTTTTAAATAACTTTGTAGTATATTTAGTACCAGCATTGTACTCGTACGAAGTTGGGGCGGGTGGCTAGTAATGTATATAGGTATAAACGTTCTGTAAAAAATATCTAAATGACAGTGACCTCTTGCACAAATATCGATTGCGTGATTTAGAAGAATTTACTTCTTTTAGTAAATTTAAAAAAAGTAAGAAGAGAAACAGACAGACACGTTTTTATCCCATTTAGAGATTATAGTATGGATTAATGGGTGAACTCGAATGTGGCCGATACTAAAAACTTTGTATGACAATTTTAATTTACGACTAACCTTTTAGAAACGGAAACGGTTCTAACAAAACAAATTAATTCGACCGATGGCAGTAGGTTCGCCAACCATATGCGACGTGTTGCGTACAGGTCGAGTGTTATGTTTGCCAGATTGGTAACAGTCGATAAATGATTCTAATTAGGCATGGGTAATATGAGTATCGCTCCGATATCTATATATTGGATTCATTATCGTCCACATCGATATGACATCTATACTGATTTCGATTTTCTGCTACATTGCAATATTATATACTGGATGAACGATATTTTATATATTCGTTATTAGTTAAATATATCGATATTGTAGTTGCAGCATATATAATAGATATTGCTATATATTACTTACACTTAAATGCTAACTTATCAGCGTTTACAACAGGGTCACTAATACACATATAGATCTGTTTATTTATGTAAGTATAAGCTCACCAAAACGTATTGCCATCCAGAGTTCACTTTAACAAATAATGCTTGTTCCTCAACAACGTATGCTAACGCTCCCACAGGACTGGAAGACGATATCTGCGAAAAAAGATTTTTAGTTATACAATTAGATTACTTAATAGACCTTTTATTATTAAAATAAATTAATACTATTATCCTATTGATATTATAAATACGAAAGTGATACGATATACGAAGTGATAAAAATACTTAAATTCTTTTTTGTTATATATATATATATATATATATATATATATATATATATATATATATATATATATATACACATAGAAAATACTTAAATCACTACAAACAGTCATACTCATGAATAATGTATATTGTAATCAAGAAAACAGACTGAAATTGGCCCACCCGTTTAGGAACACAACATACCCATGTGTGTCATATTTATTAAAAAATAAAGTTACTAAGTAGACATAATTTTAAAGTACCTTCATCATTTCCTCCGTTGTCTGGAACACAGCAGCGCCCGGAATGGTTTTGTCATTCTTCGGTTCCTCAGCATGACTGGAGTGCGAACCCAGAGGAGTTGAGAAAGCCACTGTACAATAAAACAAGTCATCATTCAATTTGAAATGAAAAGTAAATTAACGGCTTACCTGATGGGATGCAGTGACTATGGCTTATAGACATGAATAGCACGACGGCTATTACAGACTTCATTGTGATGCCTTGATGTCTCTCAGAAATTAACGTTTGTTTAAACCAAAACACAGTCTCGCGAACATACTTAGCTTAACGGCAGTACTACGAATGAGTTTTAACACAATATTAGATGTATACTTAAGAAGATTGCTTAATATATGCTTTCAGGAGACAATAAATAATGCGAGAAAATAATATTACAAATATTAATGGACTTAACGATTTAAGAGACCGTTAATAATGGAATTTTCTCGTCATGATCAAAGTTAGACGGTCAAACTAAGACTAAAATATTTGAAATGCCTTCTTTCTTAAAAGACTATCTATTTGTAAAAAAAATTTAATTATTTACAATTTTAGCATTTTCTCAATTAGTAATAATTATATATTACGGTTTTTATTCTATAAAATTGTTTTATACTTACTATCTCTACCCCTATCCATGTCCATACGAGCTTTGAGTTCATCTATGCGACTCTTTGGAACTTTAGTATGGCAGCGTGAAATCATTTTTTTTTATATTATTCATATTAGTAATGGTATAAAGAGATACATTAATATATATATTTACTTCAAAATTTTATAGAGAATATAAAATTTAATACATACTTTAAGAAGAAATTGTCATTATGTAATATATGAAAATTATGAATGTATCATCATCGTCATCATCATATCAGTCGTTGACTGAGCACTGCTGAACATAGGCCTCCCCTATAAAGAGCAGATTTGCCAGTAGTTGCTATGCTTGGCAGGCTGGTTGGCAGCCTTTGATGATGTTTTAAGAGGCTGCTTATCCCTCGACTATTAAGTAGAACTTATTAAGGGAACTTAGTTACTTAACTCTCTTACGACACTCATGGGAAAGAAAGGGGTATTTATGTATGCTGTGTTGAATTTGTGTTAAATTTGAAAAAAAAAATGCAATAAATTACTACAGATTTAAATGTATTTAAGTAAATAGAAGATATGTATAGTTAATTCGTAGCTACTTCTTATACTATTTATTGGTAGCGTGACTGAGTAACGAACGTTTAGGTGCATCATACACGCGCTGTGCTCAATCCGCGATTTTCATACATCGCAGTACCTTGTAATTGCGTGGCGATGTAGGACGTTATTAATAAAAAAAAAATTGTATTACGATGTATGAAAGCTGTAGTTTATGTACACATTCGTACGTGTGTCAGATGCCTTATGTATTCTATTATTTTTAATAGACTCAAAAAAGCTAGAGTAATAGGCTGGCATTTGATTAGGCTACTGCGTACATTCACTCTGCCATGCGATTGGTCTTTGACTATTAACAAGAATATTTAAGTATTTCATTAGAATTATGTTTCGTTATTAACTTAAGGTGCATAAATCAAATGATGATATAAGCAAAACAATAATACCTAATGGTTATCATTGTTCTTTGTCAGCAAATATAATAATGTTTTAGTGAAATTAATAGTTAATAGGTTTATTAAGTAATATGTAATCAGTTTATTTATTGTTATTTGAGGAGATTTCTTATTTCATGTTTTTTTAAATTTATTTTGGCTTAATATATATTTAAAAAAAGTATTTATAAATTTTTTATTATTTTTTGTTTACTTGTAGCCTTAATAGCTCAACGAATGTCGACTAATAATAAAATTTGGCATACGCCTAGTAATTGACACGAAAAAGGACACAGACAATTTTTTTATTCGGATCACGTAGACCAAGTCTACACATAGTAAATAAAATTAAATAAACCCGCCATCTTGAGTCCGTGTTCAGGTGAGTACCTAACGTTAGATATCTACGTAAATATATATACATATATTTACGTCGTCATATACTTAAATATATTGATGGTATTGCGGTTTGAAATACTTCATGTCTTTCCATAGTGGCACGTTTAATCCCTTTAAAATACATTTTTATTCATGACTATATTTCAATCTTTTTGTATTGTTTTGGGTGATTTTGGTATAATAAATGTATTTATAAAAAAGGTATTTAGCTATCAGTCGTCTAGTATCCATTGGCAAGTAATAAATAGTATGGAACTAGATGACCTTGTGTAGTATCATATCATATCAACCATTAACTGTCTACCGCTGTATATAAGTCTCCCTTATAAGGGGTGTTTTGCCAGTAGTTGCCACGCTTGACAAGGGGGTTGGTAACCGCAGTTAAGCCTGTTTCGTATGTCACTACTAATAGTATTTATAATTTAAATTAGTTACTAAAATGCTGTATGGTTCCAACATAGTATAGGCCACCCCTTCTTTTCCCGTGGGTGTCATAAGGTACAATTAAAAGAATTTAATGGTCGAGGGATGGGCAGCAGCGTCCTTTTTAAAACACTAAGAGTCTAACTGCAATTGTCAACCCGTCTGCCAAGCGTGACAACTACTGGAAAAAATCTCTTTATGGGAGACGCCTATGGTCAGCAGTGGACCGTTAAAAGCTGGTATAATTTTAATGATTAATCGACAAACTAAAAACAAATTTATTGTCTTATTGTTCTTAGTCGATTGCTGAAATAAATTTATTGTTATGTGAATAAATACATATTCCTAACCCTCGTTTCCACCGAAATACACATGTCACAAAACATGTTGTGGTTACATTATGTATTGCGACATTTTGGTTGAAGCAGTTGTTGTGACATCTACAGATGCAAAAATGTCATGTTCATTTTATATACACGTAATATAGATATGTAGATGTTACTGTAATATGACATTATTTGTATGTGCCCACTAAAAACAGATGTACAAAATTTGATTCAAGATATCTAGTACATAAATGATATATCAAGAAATAGTTGAAATGAGAAATATAATTATTTTTAAATAAAATGGTTATCTACTCACCTGGTCTACCATAAAATTTGGTATTCCCATGAACGGGATGCTCATCGTAGTAGCTCAGACCAGGCTCTCCCTTGGGCCCTACAACAGATACACCGGGCACCCCTGGAGGGCCAGGTGGTCCGGGGGGTCCTGGTGGTCCCGGAATATACCGGACCGGTTCTACCACAGCTCCTGGAGGGCCAGGCGGTCCGGGTGGACCTTCGACACCAGGTTGACCAGGTATCCCAGCGAGACCTGGTTCTCCTTTTTCGCCTTTAAACTACATAAATAATCAGCTGATTAAATATTTTTCCATTTTATTATTTTTTATTTAATATTTTAATAGGTAAGTAAAAATTTAGTAGGTAGTTTTTATTGAATACATATTTCATGTATATATAATAACATAAAGGTGGTTATTTCACTGACATTCTGAAAATCACGCCTTTTAATATAATATAAATTTTATATAAATATAAAAATATATTTGCTATTATATTTTTTATAAAACAAAATCTTCAATCTATAATAGATAGCTTCACAAAAAATAGTGATTGCGATGCGCGAGAATTAATGGAGACGTGGTTACACTACAATTTTATTTGGTAGATTGTTTCGGTATTACCAAAGATTCATTTAGAGATAAACGATTTGTTTGATAAACTTGATGAACAGGTTTCGGTCAAAAGTTTTAGCAACTCTTTTATTTATCGCTCATTCTACAAATATGATACACGAACAGTGATTATTAGAAGACATCTTGGAACGCGTTCGATTGGATAGATGGTAAACACTGGGATAGCGTGATTATAAAATTGAGAATATTAATTCAGTGTTGACAGTAACAATGTTATCATGGATGTACTTATAGTTGTGTCATGTAACTATTAATGCTTTATCATGAATATTACAAAGTAAATTAAAACTTTAAACGAACATTGTATTGATACATTGTATAATAATTGTTACACGTTTACGAGTATCGTCAACAGATAAAACTGTCCAATTATCTATAGATATTTTTTTTTAAACTTTATAAATGAGTGATCGTCATTAACTTACTTAGTCAATAGTTGTTAGTGATCACAGTCAGCCGTCTCATTTTTATATAATATTAAACCAGTTACAATGTATGTTATAATTGTGGCGATTATATTAATACTACTTCATTATTACGGAACTCGTAGATATTATTATTGGGAGAAAAGAGGAATCAAACACGATAAGCCATTACCGTTTGTCGGAAATAATTTGAAGCAGTTTATGCAAAAAGCGAGTATGGCAATGACTGCAAATGAGGTATACAGAAAGTATCCTGAGGAAAGAGTGGTAGGATTCTATAGAGCAACACAACCCGAGTTAGTAATCAGAGATCCAGTAATAGCAAAAAGGATTTTAGTTACAGACTTTCATCATTTCTATGCAAGAGGTTTGAATCCACATAAAACTGTGATTGAGCCGTTATTGAAAAATGTTTTCTTTGCCGATGGTGACCTGTGGCGTTTGATTCGACAAAGGTTCACACCTGCTTTTAGTACTGGAAAAATAAAAGCAATGTTCCCACTTATAACAAAGAGAGCAGCAAAACTTCAAACTCTAGCCGATGGAATCACTGAAAAAGAGTTTTACGATGCACGTGAATTAATGGCGAGATATACCACTGATTTTATTGGTGAATGTGGTTTCGGTATCAATATGGACTCATTGAGTGACGAAAATTCCCAGTTTAGGAAACTCGGTAAAAGGATTTTTGTAAGGACTTTTAGGGACACTTTTATAAGTGCTTTAAAATGGATATTTCCTGAAGTGTTTAAGAATTTTACTATGCTTTCTCCAGAAATAGACGTAAATATGACAAGGTTGTTCCAAGGTGTTGTAGAAGAGAGAAATCACAAGCCTTCTGGGCGAAACGATTTTATAGATTTAATGCTTGAGCTTAAAGAAAAAGGAAAAATGATCGGAGAGTCGATTGAAACAAAGAATCTTAATAGTACACCTCGAATTGTTGAATTAGAATTAACAGATTCATTAATGATAGCACAAGCATTTTTATTTTTCGGTGCCGGTTTCGAAACATCTTCAACTGCTTCTAGTTTTACATTGCACCAGTTGGCATTCAATCCTGATTATCAGAAAAAAGTCCAGGAAGAAATTGATAGAGTTTTAGCAAAATATAATAATGAGATCACTTACGATGCTGTGAAAGAAATGTCTTATTTAGAAAATGCATTCTATGAGGCTATGCGACTGTATCCTTCTGTGGCATATTTAATAAGAGAATGCACATCAACAAATTATACTTTTCCTGAATTAAATTTAAATATAGAAAAGGGTATTAAAACTATAATACCTATAGCAGCGATACATAATGATGAGAAATATTTTAAAAATCCAGAACAATTTGATCCGGAGAGGTTTATAGATGGACCAAAAGAATGTATACGAAATTTTATATTTTTGCCTTTTGGTGAAGGACCAAGAGCATGTGTTGGTATGTCCATAATCATAGTATTATGAAAATATTTGTAGATTAATCATTTACATGTTTTAACCATAAAATAATATATCACAGATAGTACTATACATGCTTTCCTTTATTAGACGTATTTTAGTAATATAAATTACTTAATCCTAGCCATTCAAAATAGCTACAATATTTTTGAATTAGCTAGTAATTATGGTTGTTGGCGACAGACCTCCTTTCATACAACTTTACCTTTTTTAGATTTATATTTTTATATTATGAATATGTCTTTTGATACTTATTTTGTTTTTCTATTTGAGTGACATATTATTATTATTGTTATATTGTATGAAGTGTGATTGTCATAAGAAATTATACTGGTAAGCCTCTCTTAATATTATTTTATTATTGTCGCTGCCCTCCTCTCCTACCAGCGCCGTATTACGACTTGCCGCGAAAGCATTACATGCACGTCGCTTAGCCGAATTAGAGGCCAATCTTGACCGCGCCGCAACTGAGCGGGAACGCGCTGCAGTTGAGCGGGAACGCGCTGCAGCTGAGCGGGAACGCGCTGCAGCTCAGCGGGAGCGTATTGTAGCGACTCTAGAACTAGAGGCTGAATTAGCGGCTATTGATGAGGCCGCCAGTATACACTCACAATCGTCTAAAAACTCTAGAATAGAAAAATGGGTGACCTATTCTAACGATTCTTTATCTGAGAGACAGATCAACTCAGTGCTGGCCACAGAACGCGAGCCCGTGGTCTCGCCTGGCGTTTGCGCCACCGGTATGGCTGGTGTCGCAGCGCGCGAGCACGTGCCTTCTTTCGCGCCTGTTCAGTCGGCATTGGAGGCGCATAAGGTACTGAAATTGGTCGGGCGCGCGCATGAATACTCGCCTGGCACCGCTGGCGTTTCAGCCGTGGTGCGCGAGTCTGCGCCTGTTACCGCGCCGGCCCTAACTACCCTTGAATCTTCAAATGTCCACGGCATGACATCCTCTCAGCACTGCGACTATGGAGCGCAGCAGCCAGACGCTGTTGCTTCGTCGAAAGCCTTCAACGAAGCCCACGAACTCCACTTCAAGTCGCCGATGCCGCCTATTCATAAATCCCATACACGTAAACACACTTTAGGTACACAAAACATATCATTTGATTGTACACAAAATAAAAATAAGCTCATAGCCTTTAACACTCTTCATCATCAACCCAGTGATTTCTTGAAGTTGGCTGAGCTTACTACGGATGTGGCTCGTGGGAACAACGGAAACCCTAATTCAGGTAATGTAGTAGTTAGTCTACCTATGTTTACTGGTTCGCCGCCTTCCCATTGGCTATTATTATTATTCAAATCATCATTTTTAAATTCCAAACATTTGTTCATGGCGACGGAAAGCATAGATCTGTCGAGCTCTCTCTCTGCTCTCCGTGGAGCCGCTCGTGACGTTGTTATTTCTCTTCTGGCTTTGTCACAAGACCCAGAAGAGATCATGGTGGCTCTACAAGAGCAGTTTGGTGAGACTGACCTTCTGATACGTCAACTAGTATCACAAGCGAAAGACATGACCAAGCTGCTTGCATCTGACGGTAAGGAACTACACCAGTTAGCTTGTGTGGTACACAACTGTGTTCCCACAATAAATATGTTAGTTTCTGTGAAGTTCCTCCCCTACCCAGAGTTATTGAAATACGTCAACGATGGCGTATGTTATACCACTATCTCCCCAAAAGGTAAGGTAGTGTCATCTATCGTAGCTACTGACTTATTCAAAATTTCTACTGTAAACGATAGATGGCATTGGGTTAAAAATAAAATTTACTTTAGTGGAAATTTCTATCACGAGTTGCCTCGTAGCCGACCTAATTCTATCCAATGCCTTTCGATGCCACCAAGAGGTAAGAAAAAAGTAGAGGGTGAACTTGCCTCTATGACTGTGGCACACGTAGACAGTTGGAGCTACAGACGGCTTACATGGCTACTCGATTTACAACTTATATCGTGGAAGCACACTATCGAAAGTTTTATGATATAGATGTCATTGGCACTACAAGCCAACAGCATTAACATCTCCGGTGGTCGACCTAATCATTTAGACTGATGAATTCGGTTGATTAGGACAACTGTTAGTGCACATTATTGTGCCAAGATTTTCCGGTTTTTATTAGAAGCCTCCAAATTTCAAAATTATATAGCGCCGCCTCCGAGGTTCCTTCCAAAATTTTGTCTCCCCCTTTAAATAGAAGAAATTTCGGAGACTGAAAGGCACCTTTATACAGCAGGTCTTTTCTCAACCAATCAAGAAGGTTTAAAAACCTAATCTTGATGTTGGGAGAGGACGATTCTCTCCATTTGAATGGAAGAATTTGTATAATTTTATTGTAAATGTTTATTGTTTTGTTAATGTTTAATATTGTATAATTTTAGAACCTCCCATGCAGGAAGTAAACCCACTTAGACGGTCGACATAATAGTATGGTTACTTCTTGATCACTACTATCAAAATTTTAGTCACTGTCTCACTGTAACTTTCGTCAACTTCCTGCGCGGGAGATATTAAATAATAGCAGTATTGGTGTTAACCAGGTCTGTTGCCAAATATTATTGCTTTTACATAGTTATAAAGCTTCTTCCGTCTGCGCCATAATTTGGTGACCTTCTCGGTGATAAGTTATCGCATCATCGGCGTTTCTTTTTACCGGTCTCTATTACTTTGCTCCGGTGGAGGTTACTATTAGATGCAAGTGAGAAAAGCGCTAGGTAGCTGTATTTACATATCTCACCGCACGAGCTGTTTACCTGGAAATCGTGAGAAGCCTTTCAGTGGATGTTGCTGACATGGATCTTAGAAGATTTATCGAAGATTCGTCGAAGATTGTCTCCGAAACGGTTAACGGTTTTTGTCGGTGCAGCAAACCAATTTGCTTTGGTCTTCGTTTTTATAGCCAATAAGATTGAGTGGCGGTCCATTTGTCTAACAGCACCATCAATGAGTGGCTCCTGGGAATTTCTGTTCAGATTGATTAAGAACGCTTTTTCTATAACTCTGCTACATAAAGCATTAAAAGAAGAAGTGCACCCAATTCCACGATTCGAAGCAGAGGTCCTAATAAATACACGTCCATTTACGGACGTCCCAATGGACCCTGAGAAGCCACAAGCTAGAATGTTTCATTTGTTGTTGGATAGTCCGTCGACTGAAGCCGTTCGCCCTCACACCGATGCAGATTTGTACCGTAACCTCAACGACAAGAGGCAACTCCGACTGACCGAGATTTTATGGGCCTGAAAATCTCTCCAATGCCCATTTCTAGAAAGTCCAGGTTACTCAAGACCCATCAGAAAAGTAGTGCCACTGCTTTTGTCGCCTCCTTAGATTGGTGCTCTGCACCGGGGCGTGCCATGTTGGCGACAGACCTCCTTTCATACAACTTTACCTTTTTTAGATTTATATTTTTATATTATGAATATGTCTTTTGATACTTATTTTGTTTTTCTATTTGAGTGACATATTATTATTGTTATATTGTTAGATTGTGATTGTCATAAGAAATTATACTGGTAAGCCTCTCTTAATATTATTTTATTATTGTCGCTGCCCTCCTCTCCTACCAGCGCCGTTTTCAATGGTATTATCCATTTTACACCTAAGATAAATCAATATTTAACTTTTAAAATAGCAGTGAATTTAAAATGTGTTTATATTAATGACGCTTCTTATCCATGGTCAGTTAGTCGGCAAATTTCATTTGTGTCATTTGTACGAGTCATGTGTAGGGATCCAAATGATATAAAGGAATTCTTATGGTGCGACTTCGTCCCTTCGTTTATATGTCACAGCGCGTTATCTCAGCAACGTTGTCGAAATTTGAAAGTTCTAAGGGGAACGAAACTTAAAATTTTTAAAATGCCCCTACTTATACATGCCATACAAAAGGGCTTGTATTGTATTCTAAAACAGTTTTTTTTTTTTATATCATGTAATTTTTTACTTATTATTTATTCTTATTTTCGAAGTTTGGTAAGCGGAAACCTGAATTACAGTTTATAAAGCCATATGGTATATGAACATTACAGAAACAATGAAACGCTAATTTATAACTAGCACAATTTTTGGGATATTATCAAAAACCTCCAAAAATAAACTTAGCTATGCCCTTCAATTTTTAACCACAATTATAATTTAAAATAAATACAAATTGAATGGTGGTATCAATAATAATTAATTTTAAGTATTTATTTCATATATAATGCACAATATTTAGAAGGGTACCTATGTTTATGCAAATATACGATTTGATTTATATACACACGGAACTAAGCACGTAAATTCAACTCGCATCTGACTGTTTTATTTTACAGGTGCAAGATTAGGTCAGATGCAGTCAATGGCTGGAATAGCCGCTGTTCTCCACAAATTCACCGTGGAACCAGCAGCTTGCAGTGTACGCGTACCAAAACCAGATCCCATGGGAATAGTGTCCGAAGGGTTTGTTGGAGGATTACCTCTTAAGTTTAAGAAACGTGTACAATGAAATACTTCATTCTTTCGAATTTTTTCAATCATATAATAACTACCAGAATACTATTTCCATTTTGTTAAAATATAACTAAATAGTCATTGACATACAAAATGACTAAGATTCACAACCTCATACAAAGCTTCCAATTAAAAGTATTATAAATTAAAATTATAAAAATATAAAAGTTAATATTTTATAGAAAATGGAATAAAATAACAAAAATATAAAACAGTTATATTTTTATGAAATTTATATAAAATACTTTGATATGTTTCACAAATGGTCAGAAATGATTACATTTGGCAACAATTTAGTCGAATGGACAATACATTTTTAAATATGATTTTAGTTCTTTGCTTTCTTGTATATTAATAAATAAAGTATAATAATTACCATAGAAACATCGAGGATATTAACTCCTGGGTCGCCTTTTTCCCCTTTCGGCCCGACTGGACCGGCTACTCCTGGAGGTCCAAACGAACCTGGTTTGCCCTTACATAGAAATAAATTTATTTTAATTATCTTTATAATCTGTTTCATCCTTTAAACAATAAAGAGTTTTCATTCATTCATTTAATTATTTTCTACATTTACTGTATTGTTTTTTATGTAAGTGCTGTAATTTGAAGCTTCACCTGCTTAAATTAGTGTACAAAATTGATTAATGAAGTATTCAATTCAAATCCATTCAGATGTTCAGTAACAAACTTTGAAATGTTTAGATTTACTTTTATTTACTAGTTGTATTTTGCGAATTTATGATTTAAAAAAAAGTACGTCGTGTACATATGTCCTATACGTTATTAGGTATTGTGTAACAATAAGTATGTTCACCCATTCATCATCAACATCACAATATTCAAACATCTTTTATATTGACATAGAATGAACTAGAAATCATTGTCATCATTTTAAAGAAGTGCTATAGGCATAACAGATTTTTTTCCAAAGATATTGAATGATTTTTTTAAAAACGTTTAAAATTTTTGAACGTTTCCATACTACTGGCACTTCGCGGCTAACTACTAATTAAAATGAGGGACTATTAATTTTCGTTCTTTTTATGTTTTTTGGGGAAAATATTCTATCAATAATAGAACACTGTATTAAAATGATGTTAATGATTTAAAGATCATTAATCAATATATCAGGTGGTTCAGGACCGTGCCTTATGGCAACTTATGAGAAAGGTTTCATCAGTGGACGAATAATGGCTGATGATAATGATGATGAATCAATATTACTAAATTAATGTATTACTTTAAATTATCGATAGTACAATAAGGTAAACAATGACATATAACATAATAACTATTGTTTAATTATTAATAAACGCAATGTATTAGATGGTGATGTCGATTCTGAGACGCTATTCCCTAAATTTATCTTTATAATATAAATTTTGATTTGATATTACATTTTTTCATCAAGATTAAGGATCAATATAAACTGAATTTCTAATATAGACTTAGTCAAAGTTATTATAAATTTAGTTTATGATGATTAATAAAAATAGTACTTACGCAAAACTATCAAATTATTAGTTTTAGAGATATATTTAGAGAATGGATTTAGAAATCAGAATCGACTTTACTGTATTAAAATTATATTATTATTCATACTGTAGATATACTGTTGCACTTGAAATTGCAATTAGTAAAATAAGATAAACTGTGACTTGAAATGATAAGTATTTTTTTTTATAATTAATAAATATTTATAATAGATAACATACAATGTAATATATTAGGTACCTAAAATTTATTTTTATAGACAGATTAAATGAGTTTCATTATATTCAGAGATATACATTGTTTACAATTAGAATAAAATTAGGTACCTACTCTGAAGTCTTTTAGAAATACATAGACTTAGTATTGAATAACAAGTTTTTGTAAACAATATACATTGGTACACAGTACATACATACATACATATAATTGTATATTTGTATACAGTATATATAAAAAAAAGTAATTCCCAAACATATTCGTATAATCATATTTTACGACAATTTTCGTTCCCATTTTTGAGTTTATATGCCATGTAACATGTAATAATCGTAAAAAAAGATGACCAAAAACATTTTTGTGTTAATAAATTCATTAATAAATTAATGTTGTTCTAATATTCTAAAAAGACTTACTCTTTTTTCAAATTTTTATTACATTGCGTAATGTACATATTATATATAATAACCGGGCTCAATGTGAAAGATTTTTTTTTAAATACAGGGTGATTGAGTACCAAATATTTATACTTAATATATAGGTAAATATGTTTCGAAAATCAAATATTGACCATTTTTATATGGATTTCTATAATCGAGTACCAACCTTAGAATTCTCGAAAGTGAGCAAGAAAACAGAATAATATCGGTTAATCATATCACGAGTAGAAACTATCAGTCTTACTACAAACATTATACAAAACACTGTTTATCTAAACAATGTTTAACAAAATTCTGTCTAATTTAAATATGTTTTGTCAGTATAATAATGTTTATTTGTAATTTTGTGTAGATTTTGAATCTATATATTATTGTAATAAAATTTATTACTTTAAACACCTTTTATTTATGATGACATAGATTTTATTTTATAAAGGAATACATAGATGTTAGAGCATAGAGAATAAATAGAGAACGATTTTGTAATAAAATATCTTACTATAAAATCATGTCTAACATGTATTAAAGATTTGTCTACCAGAAGTTTAACTTCTTTGTGGTAAGATGGTACATATATAGTGATCATAGTGGCTCAACTTTAAATGAAATTATGAAGGAAACAATATTATAACAAATGATTAATATTCCATTATGGGACACGAGTTTGACGTTCGATGCTAGCTAGGCGGTTTAATATAGAGGTTTATTCCGAGTTCTTCATATCTTGTACCCGTATTTTCATTGCTGTCTCTTACGACAAACTAGGAATGAAGTAGGATGTGTTTTGGTAAGATATAATAGTAAGTTTGCAGAGTCTATAGCAGTAATAGTATTATATTATAGTGTAGTAGAGTATATTTATCATAATTGACAAAATATTAAAGGTATTGTGGACGTCACAGTTTATTCTATGGTGTTGTAATGTGTTGTGAAAGACCATAACCGTTTATATTTTTATATAACAGTTTATATTAACTCATAAATAATATCAAACAGGTTCAATTCAGAATTTAATGGAATTGCATTATCATTAAAAAAATGATTGTACATGAATCATAATGCGAAGTGCTTTGTATAACCTGCTGATGTAAATCTACTAGTCCCTTAATCCCTCACCTTCAACGTGACAGGCCTATTAAATTGAGCAGGTTATATAAATCAAACCCTATTATGATTTATGTGAGGTGAGCTTTTTAACCCTCCAAGTCTGATTGCTCAGGGAGAGTAGTCCCAAGAACTTACCACCCATCCTGGCATTCCAATATCTCCCTTGTCTCCCGGCCGACCTGGCGGGCCCGGTAATCCTTGTAATCCTTGCAAGCCACGTGGCCCGGCTGGACCCGGCCTTCCTCGTCGACCGCGAAGACCTGGATCTCCTTTTTCACCCTTTGTATATAATATTACAATTTATATTTAATTGATACTATATTTATGACAGGAAGGAAGGGATTGGTATTATTGCGGACGTATAGTCCCCATTCATGGACGTCATCATCATATCAGTTTTTAACTCTTTATAATAGGCCCCATTGCTACCAACAAAACCACATAATCAGGTCGACCTTTCCACAGTTCCCTTGGATAGTATTGTGATTAATTAATAGCCGAATCACCGCATTGGGTCAACTGATCTGAATTCATCTTCATCGCTTCATCCTTTACTGATGCCTCACTATATATATTTATGTATTAATATCATCATTAAATCAGCCGTTGCTCGTCTACTGCTGAACATAGTCCTCTTACATAGACTGGCATAAGAAAGGGAACCATTTCTTATGCCAGTATACCATTGGCGGATTTTGCCAATTAAGCACACTTGGCAGGCGGATTGGCAACCGCAGCTTGGCTTTTGGTTATATTTTAAGAGAGATTTTGCTGTTCATTTCTCGGCCATTAGATCCCCTAGTCGTCTTTCACGATTCCCACGGTAAAGAAAGGGGTAACACATTCTATGTCGGGTTCATACGGCATAATAAAACCATAATTACGGCTAACTGATATCATGAAGTAGCTGTATTCCGCGAATATAATTTATTTAACAAATGCCATTCAAATCTATTCAGACGTTTAAGTGTGATTAACAAATATCTATTTAAATAGTCATATCAAATATAATATTAGTAGGATTATATATATCAGCTATATAACGTTAGAAGGATTATAACAGTGGTTATAGGATAGGATACGTTAGTTATTGTAATCCCACCTATTAAATTTGGTATTTTCAACCGACTTCCAAGAAGGAGGTTCTCAAGGCGGTTGTATTTTTTTGTGTTTGTTATTTTATACCTCTGTCATTTATAAACCGATTTGAAAAATTACATTTTTAAATCCTTACATACTGGACCCATAGAAATTTTATTAAATATGGTCCAGTAGTTCTGACATCGAAATAATAGATTTTGGTATAATCTACGTCCGTTTTGTTTTTTTTTTGTTTTGTGAAACACACTCTTAAATTATACACAACGGGGGGAACGGGACTGTTAGTAATGGAGACAGAATTCCATTGCTAGCAATATACCCAACCAGGTCGACCTCCTCGCGGTTCCCTCTGGAAACTATCATGGTTAATTCCTGATAAATTTATCATGATGGGCTAACTGGCCTGTTTTCATTCTCATCTATCACCCTTCACTGGTGCTCCGCCAGCGTATCCCGTTAGCGCAGGCGGGGATACCATACCATTTACACCCGTAAAAAAAATATATACACAAGAAGAATTGGAAAAAATCTTAAATTATAAGAAACAATAAATAAGGTAGAAGAAATATTTTTAGTGAGAGACTTTGTGCAAAAGTCGTCTGTTTTCAGACGTTCAGTTCAGTGTTTCTGTTAACGTGTGTTTGTATGGTATGGGCATCACACTGTAGTTCATGCACCATAGGCATCACAGTATACTCTGTGACGTCCTATGTTGCTGTTCATGTCTATATGCGACGGTTACTATACTTATCATTGGAAGTACCATGCGATTGTTTGGCATTGAAGGTATAATAAAAAAAATGTCGTTCATTATAATACACCTGCACTTTAAGTATTCAAGTGCTGCCTAAGTAACAATTACCTTTATAGTGATAATGTCTGATCCGGTGGATGTAATACTGATTGGTCCTGGTGGGCCACGTTCTCCCCTCTCGCCTTTTAGCCCGGGTGGCCCTGGTGGTCCTGATTCTCCTGGCATGCCTGATGGTCCTATGTCTCCCCGTTCACCAGGATTTCCGTCTTTACCAGGAAAGCCTGGAAGTCCGTCATTTCCTCGACTACCTTTTTCACCCTGTTTAAAAAACAGGACATATTGATTAAAACATCCTATTTGACAGTGTTAGAAAATGTATTTCATTTTTTCATAATGTTGATTGTTGACACTTGGAAGTGTTTTGATGATACTTGTATTTTAATTATTGTAAAACAATTGTGCTATTTCACAACATTCTTTTTATGTAAGACCCAATCGCTTTGTTTCTTTAAGTATTCCATAACACGAAATTGGTTAGGGAGTTTAAAAGCTCGCCTTACGCGCATTAAAATATGATTTATTTTGTATAATTCGTTGCATTTAATAAGTTGAAGGTGTAATATTTCATTGGTGGGTATTACGAAATAATCTCACAAGTCTCTTTATGATAATAATTATTTAAAAATTTATATAAAAAAAATAAAATAGGTTATAAAAGTAGAAACAACACTTTAACACTTATACAAAGATGTTAACTACAGTTATGTTACTTAAACGGAACGAGTAGATAATATATACATTTACCTTTTCACCAGGCTCGCCCTTGGGTCCCGCTACACCAGCTCGTCCTAAAACAATAGTATATTTGTCGTATTATGTGAATAATCAGTACGCTATCCTGAAAAGCCTCTTTGTCATTTTAATATTGTATACTATTATACTGCCGATAAGCTATAGATAATCTTAGCTTAGTTTTATTAGGTTCTAATAAAACAAACTATAGTCTGTTTTAATAAAAAAATTAAATAGTAAACATATTTATTGAAATTATCTCAATACACTGTCTAAATGTGAGATAAATAATTTTAATGGAATAAATTTAAATAGTTAAAGATAAAAAAATTAATAAATAATATGTCAAAATATTTAACCAAACAAAAAATGTTGGTCGATTTAAAATTTTGCGATCCACTTTTTAAGTATTTATTCCTATCAAATATCTGGCATAAAATTATAATACAAATGCCAACCCGCCTGTCAAGCGTAGCAATTACTGAAAAAAACCCCCTTGTGGGGGAGGCCTTTGTTTAGAAGTGGACAGTTAACGGCTAATATGATGATGATGATGGTACAATGCTAATGCACTATACAGCTAATTTGATTACAGAGTTGGAAGGTATTCATAAAGACTTCTTAACAAACAAATTTGTAGAATTTATACTCGTCAGTTGTTGTTATTGCTAGACTAAACCTTTTTTGATAATAAACAAGTTTTACTCGTGCAATTTTAAAGTCAAGGTCGAGGTCGTTACTAGACCTATGTATTAAGGTTGATTCATAGTTGTTTTTGTATTTTTTACATAATGTTATAAAATATATTGATTACATTTAAATATATAAAAATCCGGTATCATGATGTTTATTGCGTAAATCTCCGAAGTCGCTCTACTGATAATAATGAAATTATAAATAATTAAAGATATAGGATAGTTTTTATCATAAATGGACCCGATAGGTGACAAAATAGAATTTGCTGGGTTAGTTAGAGTATAATTTAGGTATATTTAGTCTTACCTGTTGTTAGGAACTCAGGATCATCAGAACTGAATGCGCCGGATGGTAACGGTGGCCCCGGTGGACCGGGTAAGCCGCGTTCTCCTGTTCATAAAAATAAGTTCTAATTGTAACCTCTGATTTTGTCTGCGTAAATGAGAACGTTTTTATATTTATTACCTTTAAAAACAGTATTAAAAAGGAGATAAAACTAATCTTTATATTTTAATATGTATAAAATTTTAATATGTGTCAAAGCTGTAAAGTTACAGTGCACTTAATTTATAGATTATTAGATATATCCCGCAACCTTGCTCGCGTGATTTAGGATAAAAAAGTTAAGAGATGGTCATGTGCGTACCAAATTTTATTAAAATCGGTTCGTACAGTTAAGTATAATTAAGTACTTGTAGTATATATTTAAACATTTTATAACTTTTATACACGTGCTAATATATTAAAGAATACTAAAAAAGAATTTCTCATAATTTGCACGGAAGTGGGTAATAATAATTTAGCGCGAGCACCGCGGTTAACAACAGAAAAATAGCAGTAAATAAAATGAGTTTGGAAACAAACATATTTTATATTAATAAAATAAACGTACAAATTTTAGTCTTCGAACCAGTATACAATATTCAAAGCAAATTATTTAAATTAGGTTTGTTATTTATTCATAACAATTCATGTAGGCGAGTCTATGTTATTCTAATAGCAAAGTTATTCTATGATATTGTTTTGATTGAACTTTCTCGATATTTGTAAAGCCTATGGAACATTCCAAGTTTTATACATCTTCCATTTTAGGGTCTATAATTATTTACATTTTGCTGTATTCCACTGTATATGTTCTGTACTGTATTCTATTTACAATAAAAATTTCCAAAGGATAATTACCTAATTATAAAACTGACATTTTTAATCTGTTAGAAAATATGAATTGTTAGCAACTGAGTTATATATTAAATCTGTTTCCAAGTGCGAGACAGAGAGAGAGTGAGAGAGAGAGAGAAAAAGAGTAGTTAGCAAGTAAAAAATTTATATAATTCATTTACTGTTATGTTAAATTCCATCTTTTCTACCTACTTTGTATAGTAGATTCTCATTTACTATACATACTAATATATCACACTAATGTAGCACACACACACACACACATACATGCACACGCCCATACAAACACACATATCCAAACTCACATTAAATGTCACATATTTAAATTAAACCTGTTCGCCACACCATAATTGTTAAATTTCAAGCTTTGACTTCCACGAGACAGGCTTTGGCTAGTATGGGGTCCTATTTATATTGTACCATTGACTTTGTTTAAGGAAAATAAAGTTTATTAAGTTTATTATTATATCGAGTATATTACGTATAAAACTTCGCTGGTTATGTTTTCTCTGATTCTTTTTAAAATCGTCGAAGTTTCCTTCCCCGTTATCACCATTTTATAACGAATATTGTAATTAAGATTTCGTTAATTTTAAACTATCGCATTTTTAAGTTACACAATAGTTTAAAACATAAGGAATAATGGCGGAGTTTACCTTTTTCACCTTTCTCTGCAGGGCGACCATTAGCACCTGGTATACCAGGTCGACCATCGAATCCGGGACTCCCCGTTTCTCCTTTAGGTCCGATTTCACCTCGCGGTCCAGGATGCCCCTAAGGAGTTACATTTGAATAAGTTTAATAAACGCAGTGTAGTCTCTGCATAGAATGTGTCACCCCTTCCTTTCCCGTGGGTGTCGTAAGAGATGACTAAGGGAATTTTTTGTTCAAGGGATGGGTAGCAGCGTCCCTCTTAAAACATCACTAAAACCTAATAGCGCTTGCCAACCGTCTGTCAAGCGTGGAAATTACTGGCAAAACTTCCCAATAGGGCAAATACCAGGTGGAAATAGCCCCCATCCCTTTAGTTCAGGACCATTCCTTATGACAGTTTATGGGGGGCTTTTATAGGTAATAATGAAATAGTAACCCCACCCGCGCTATCGGTATACACCGGTGGGGCACCAGTGAAGGATGATAGATGAGGATGAAACAGGTCAGTTAGCCCATCGTGACAAATTCAATTAAAATTGTTTACGATGGTTTCCAGGGGGAACCACGTGGAGGTTGACCTGATGGGGCATATTGCTAGCAATGGGGCTGTCATACTCCATTGCTAACAATCCCTTCCCCCAGTCTATGGGTGAGGCCCATAACAATTAATGACTGATATGATGTGATGAAGTTTAATAAATTTATTTAAACATACTCAATGAAATTTAAATTATTAGTATCCTACTAGAGAATTATGCTATCAGTGATAGTGATATTTTTTTCTAAAGAAACACGGCAAAAAATTTCGAGTGTTCCATACTAACAAGGTATATCGACCTTTCAAATGATGTTTTATGTTCCTGGAATCATAGATATGAAAGTGAATGGAGCTGTAGATTTAATAAAGAATAGAACTATTTGGATCTTGATTGTCTCTGCCTACCCTAATAGAGATTGTCATGAAGTTAGATACATTTTACTGTGATTTATTTTTCTCTTTCTTTCACAATATTTATAATGATATATTACTTATATTGGAAAATGATAATAATAGTAATGTTTTCCTTTTATCTCATAGTTCTATCAGGACATAGGGTGGAGTTTTCATTTACAATGATGTAGAGTGGCAAGTCGCAGGGCATTAGAATCGAGACCGGTTAATGTAATTTGGGAAATAAAAATTAATAGGATGTAACATTACTTACCCGATCTCCTTTAGGTCCTGATAATCCAGGTTGACCTCTGTCTCCTTTATGTCCTGGAAATCCTCGTTCTCCTTGCGGCCCCATTGGTCCAGGTTGGCCGATGTCTCCTTTAGGTCCCGGTGGCCCTGTTCTCCCCAAGTCTCCACCATATGATCCAACTAGTGATTCCTTGAGAAATAAAAAAAGTATTACTAAATTCCAATTAAATTCAAGAAATTTATTCGCTTTAACTTTATTTCTTACTTTTTGTTAATGTACTTTATAAGTTACTGGGCTTATTCGTAAATTATAAAGTATAAAGTGTATTAAGTAAAGTATATTATTCAATCTATTAAAAATGGTTCATATTTCAAATATATATTTTTGTGAGTTTATTATGTAAAATATTTTTTATAGTTATATTAGATACGAGTATATAAGTTCCAAAAATTCGATCATTTATTCATTTTAAATAATTTTATAATATGTAATTATATATGTTAGGAAGTTTAATGTCATGTTTTTTTTATTTATTTAATAAATAAAATAAAAAAATATATGATGACAAATACATTTCCTAATAGGTGAGCTAGAACCATTTATTGACTGTTGCCGCGTAGTGAACGTAATACACGGCATGCCCACAATTCGTCAAGCATGCAGATATATATATATATATATATATGATAAATTGTACAAAAATGACTTTAGTCCAAAAAATCAATTAAATTTTGCAGCTCTGAACTTTAAACCTGAAGGGAAGATGTGTCAAAATCCAAATTATTTCCGCACAATACACACGAACTTTCTCCGGTGACATTTCAAATAAATTTCCTTATCTGTCCCGTCGTAGATATAAATCAAGGGTGAGGAGCAGCCATTTTCACACTTTTCCTAAAGTTGTTCGAGACCTGTTTGTTCACTGAAGGCACAATCGTCGCCTCCAAAAAGTCATTCGTTTCAGTTGCAAACAAAGTGTTTGACAATGAAAAGATAATCGAGAACCGAAGATCGCTTTGGTATTGACAGTGTAAGTAATGACTAAGCATTTTTAGAGTTTTTATAGTAGTTTATCTATCCCGTTACTATTTTAGTTGAAAATGTAGTTGGAAATGTTTTAACCTAGTGGTTTACTACAGTAACTTGTAGTCCCCAAAGGCTGCGAATTCAAGTTTGATAGATACCAGACTTTTATCAATTTTAATTTCCCACCTGGTACTTTATTAATTTATGAGGTCACAGTAGAATATTTATTGCATTAGATCCAAATGCACTGGACGAAATAAAGGTCAATAATAAATTCACCTGCATTTGTTTTGTGCATGTTGTTACCAGAGGGAGACTTTGTACAAAAGTCGATTGCTTGGGTACCTCTGTCCCATTCGTGTTTCAATCGTGAAGTAGTTGTGTTTGCATAGCTGTTTTTCGGTTTGAAAGGTGGGACATGGCGTGAATTTACTGGGTACAGAGGAATAACACCTGAGTCTTCAGGAATGGCAACGCATGGGGGGTATCATGGGCGAAAGAGTATACTCTATTATGTCCATGGTACTGCTCATGTCTATAGGCGACGGTTACCACTTTCCATCAGGTCGGCCGTCAGCTTGTTTGCCATTCTAAGTTGTATAAAAAAAAATGTTGCTCGCAATTTTTGTTAATTTTGAATTGAATTAGATCTCGAATAGTGTTTTTCAAGTTAATAATAGAATCTTGTTTTGTTTCTATATTAATTTTATCGCAATTTAAGTAACTTTTTTATGGATAAAAATTTTTAATTTTCATCTAATTCTAACGTTAATATCAAGTCATATTTGTATAGAATTTGAAAATATTATAGGATGTTAAACCTATCATAAGTAAATAAACAGATGGATATATTAAAAACAATATATTGATAATTGTGTAACTCATTAATTAGTATATGAGTAATTGGTATAGAAGTTTCCTAACATTTTCACATAGCATTTTGTGTTACATACCTTGTATATTTGTCTAGGTTTCCAATTTGACTAAATAAATAAACACAGGCGGCATGAAAATGACAAAATCATGTAAAATGGCTTAGTAGACATATTATATAATCTAAACTATATAAGGAAAATTTGGATTTTTTGTTTGTAATGAATAAACTCAAAAAATAATTAATCGACTTTAAAATTTTTTTCTTCTATAGAGAGCTACATTACCAGTGATTTTTATTGGTTGTACTTTCTTTTTTCAAAATAATCGTGCCAAACCGGGGCGGGTTGCTGGATATTTTCCAAGTCTTTTTAAACTTTTTGGTTATTATAGTGATAATAGTCTATTGCTATATACATATTCTTGTCATAAAGAATGGCCCTGAGCCACTTGCATCCTGTAACTCCTTGTAACATGGTGGAGATTATCGCTCAATTTAGTGGAGGGTCGTCTTACGTTGTATTTATTTATATGTGTGTTGCCTGATTGAGAACTTTTCTTCTATTGGTTATCGGTTCTATGAATTATCATTATATTACTAGTGACAAGTACAATAATAAGTCAGCGGGAGTACTTATATTCTTTTATGCAAAATATGGATAATTATTTTAAATGAAGTTAACGTACAAAACCAAAATGTTTTATGGTATTAATTAACACAATGGTAAAATGATATAAGAATATAAATTCATGTTGATAAATGGAATGAAAAATACTTGCTTGTTTTATTTTTATATAAAGTAATTAGGTTAGATTAGACTAATTTTTGAAATACAATATCAAAACATAAATAATTTTGATGGTATAAAATAATGTGACATAATATGTTAGTTAAAAAAAAAATTAAACTCATATTTTACATTACACACTTACGTCGAAATTGTTATATTCAGATGATCCCGGGGGACCAGGTGGTCCGGGTGGCCCCGGGCTCCCAGGTCTCCCGTCTACCCCGGCCTCTCCCTTCGATCCTGTTGGACCTTCAGGTCCTCTTGGCCCGGTGTCCCCACGTTCACCCTTCTCGCCTCGAGGTCCGATCGGACCACGCTCACCTTGTTTACCTGGTTGACCCTGTAGACACAAAAGTTTGAATGGGGATATGTTTTTCTGGATAAAATATATTGATATCTGCCCGTTTTATTTTAAGAATTAACAATTACATACATTTATTATTATACGGATGTTTTTCTTTTAATAAACGAATAGAAATTATAAGAAAAAATAAATGTAAGACAGTGTTGACAATTTTTGATACTAATAGGAACTTTGAATTCATACTAATTATTTATTGGAGGCTTAAAAGTTAATTTGTAAAAGGGTACAAATTTATAAATACTGTTAATAATTAAATTCTATAAGAGAAATATAGCAGAGACCAGGTAAAATCAATTAGGTACATTAAATTACATTGCATAAATTTTTAGCTTGGTTATGACTTTTTTAATTCGACGATAAAATATTTGGAGTTAATTAAATTATTTCATTCATTCCCCACTACCATTTGCGTGCGTAACATTTAGTTGCGTGTATAGTGGAATGTTAAAACTTGAAAATTAGGTGAGTACTATGGATTTTTTAAATTATTTTGTAACTGTGGTATATTTGAGAAAAATATAATTATTTATTTTTATAATTCTACTTATAATTTTATTACGAATATTCATAATTGTAGAGAAATAACTGTAAAAGTATACTTACAAAAACACTATAGAAAAAAAATGCCAGTGAGAAACTTTTAAAAACTTGATAGGATTAAGTCACGTGACTGTAAACTAACCTGTTTTGTCTATGCTTTTAGTGCAAGGAAGTCGAATTAAATTGTAAAGTTGTCAGGTTTTAAGTGCTCATAATAAGTCTTCAGATTCTTGTATATTAAAAATAACTATCTAACAGTGTAGCTATGTAAAGAGCAACTGTTGAAATGGAATGAAATTTATTTGCTAGAAACATTGTAGAAAAGGTGTTGCATTTGTGAAATTTATATTATAAGTTTATTATTATTATTTTTAAGTTTTGTTGTCCGTATTATAGGAACGGTACCTTGAGGAGGCAATATTACACAATGCATATATTATAATATTACTTCATGTTAAATAACTAAGAAGTAATGAAATAAATACGAAATACGAAATAGTATCAATGAATAGTATAAAGTTAATTCAAAATTCCACGTTTTTACATATTATTTGTTTAACAATTGCCTTCAAAACATTATTAATAGTTTATATCAACTCACAGCAATGCCGGGCTCTCCCGTTCTCCCATCGGCCCCCATCACTCCAGGGGGGCCTGGTGGCCCTTGCAGTTCAGGAGCAGTTTGCAATAGTGACAAAATTGTACTAGAATTGCAACCACATTGAGCGAATGATGAGTAGTTCTCTCCAAATATTTGCTGCAAAAAAGTTGCATATTAGGCAAGGTGTAGGAATTAATTTTTACGTTGTAAAATAAACAGATTCTTATTGGAAAATATATATGGAATCGACAGTAAATCCTATGTATTGCAAAAACAATAATAAAAAACAGTTCGGTGTTGGCAAAGGTATTCCGTAGTATCTTGACACGAAACTTTGTAATGATGGATGGATAGTTGGATGAATGTTTATTACTTTTCCATGCATGAACTACTTACTCAACGGATTTCAATGAAATTTGTTACACGAGTAAGTTATATCCTAATTTAGCACACAGAGTACTTAACATAGTATGTGTAAAAATATAGATGAATTCGAAATTTAATTTACCATAAAAATTTTTAACAGAGATGTTTCTATATGACATTGATAGTTTAAGCAAGCTGAGCTTTTTGTTTATAAAATTGACTTATTTATATAAAATATAATTTACCAAATTTCAATATAATCAGTTCATAAGTTAATCATCATTAACAAACATTAAAAAAATCTTTATGACTTTTTATTATTTATAATATTTCTAATTATATCCGACCTCTGTTAATATAAATCATTGTCTGTTTACCAAAGTTCATTTAAATCCGTTCAACTGCTTAAGCTTGATTAACAAACATCTATAATCTATCTAATCTGTTTATATTCGATTAGAAATCGAGTACGTATATATTATAATTATAGATAGGAAGATTATAGCAATACTTGTAACTAATATACAAGAATTAATTAACTTTTGCAATGTAGATTACTGTAATATACATAAATATACAAGTATAAAAACTACATTCATTATTAAAATTGTATACAAGTTATATATTATTTTTTAAAGATTTTTAATTATATTTATAGACTAATATATATTTTTGAATGAACATTATTTTAAGATATCTCGTACAAAATTTGCGCCTTTGAATTATTTGATAAGTTCGATGATGTAGCAGTAATATACTCGTACCGGCCTGTCGTACAATGGTCGCGAATTTGTTTCCCACATAATGCAAATATTTGTATTCGTAAGTTTATCTACTTGTATTGGTCCATACCAGAGTATTTTGCTGGCAATGTGTCAGTTAGACCCTTAATTACTGACAATCCCTTTCCGCCCTATTTTCTATATTATAATTTGTATGTATTTAGGGAAAAAGTATATTTTTTATCAGTCAAACTTACATTTATTTAATTTAAAAAGCCAACAGCTCTTTACAAAAAAATTAACAAACATAATAGAAGTACTTAATTTCTATCAGATAAATTATATTAACAATTGAAATTGCATCAAATTTTAGATTGTAAGACTTAAGTTCTAGAATAGTTAGTTGAAAGAAAAGAAATACAAACCTTAACTGCAGTCTTCTATTGTAATTCCAGCGAGCACAAAGAGTAATTTAGTATAGATAAGTATGTTAATGAAATTATTATTAATTATTAATAATTGATAATATTCATAAATGGTAATGTTAATTATTATCTACAATATAATATTGTTTCCTATAATATTGAAATTATAAAAGCATTTCGAGGAAATCGTTGAACTGTTTCCCGGCAAACAATTTACAATAGATAAATGTAAATAGGGCTTATTGTTTTCATCCTTGTTTACAATTACAATGATTAGCTATAATCTGTGGCTTTGGCACGGGTAAATTTGAATATATATATATATTCTAGGAAAACATTATGAGGCACCTATGCTCAAATTTCATTAAAATTTATTCAGCTATATCAGTCAATTGTTTAAATATCAATATAAAATTTTACATTGAAAATTAAAGTACATTTCTAAAAATTTTCTTACTGTAATTGTTAATACAGTTATAATTATTGAAGTATTAATCTAGATTAATATTTACATTATTTTCAGGAATATTATATGAGTAAATTTGTAATAAAAAAGGTATGTACTTATTGCCTAAAATTATAAAGATAAAAAGATCTTTCAAGTTATAATTATTTAAATGGAACTCAAGAAGTAAAACCTTTTAAAACTATTCTTTGAAATACTTTTAAAAGTTATGCAGACTCCTAGCAAGTTAGAGTATTAAAATGAATTCCAGATAAGTTTTCAATGAATGTAATACTTATTTTTAATCACTTGATAAGTACTGAATGAAGTACGTGTAATATGCAAGTTCGATCGTACTTGACTTTATAAGATTTTTTTCGCTAAGTGAGATAAATATTATCTAAAGATAATAATTAAATTGCGTTCCAAAAAAACACTAACTTCAATTGTGACAAAGTCAGTTATTTTGATTTAAAAAATAAGTTTTTGAACCGATTTTAATAACATTTCTAAAGTTAGATTACCTGTAATTATATGCTTTTAGATAAAAAAAGAATTATCCAAATCGGTTTACAACTAAATGGAGTTATGAGATAACAAAGGTAAAAAAAAAATTGAACCGAATCAAAAACCTTCTATTTGAATTAGGTTGAAAAATAGTATCTATGGGTATATAAATTATACAAAGTCTTTATAATATTGTTGTATTTATTATTTTAAAAAAGAGAATAGATTTGGATTTGTTAGCGTTGACTCAATTCTATTGTTAGTTCAAAACCCATCAGTACTCGTAGTGAATACCTACGTAATTACAAATGAGTGTGCTAATAAAGTACAATAGAGACAAGAACCATTGGCAAATTCGATTACTTAACACAGCTAACCCTATGGAACGTTCACAAAAACCTCTCAGGGAGCAAATCAAGTAAATCGATATCATCAAATCGAACGTTGGACGGGCGCCAAGAGCATAATAAACTTTGTTACGACTAGTCCTTCCGATTTAGTATCCGCAGTTGACGGCACTACGCGATCGGAAACGTCAATAGTGGTGAACTAATAGACGCCATGACAAGTAAATAATAGAAAGAGATTATTCACTAACCCTTGCAAAAAATAGAGTACAAATTGTAACAGAAAAAGATCATACAGAAAAAAAACAATGGACAGATTTATTGCTGAAAATAATCTCCCTGCGATACTCTTTTTTTATATTACTAAGGTGGCAAACAAGCATACGGCCCACCTGATGGCAAGCGGTTACCGTAGCCTATGAACGCCTGTAATACCAGAGGTATTACGCGCGCGTTGCCGACCCTGAAGAAACTTTTTTAATCCCTTTTTTAAAGAACCCCATGCCGTAGTCTCTTGGTAAAACCTTGACTCATTCTATAATTTGAACGTTCGTGGGATCAAACTATTGATTAGAGAACGATAAGTAATATATGTTTTGTCAATACAGATTTAATTACGAAAGAAATAAAGGGAAATGATGGGAACCAAATTATTCAAGCTCATTTGATTCTTTTCCAGTGCTATGAGAATCAAATGCGGGAAGATTAAACCTATTGTGATTAGAGAAGGCTGAGCTATTGCAGTGGGCTAAGTTTCAATGATAGCTATTATTAAATTACTATTGGTTTGGATTACTGATCTGGAAAAGTATTGACTGTTATAATGCAAACTTATCCGAATCACGTCCTAAGTGAATGTATTGTAAAAAGGCGTTTCAATGGTCTATTCAAACTCAGATTTTGATACGACTATGCACGCTGTGGGCATTCAGGCATGTTGAGATAGTATTTTTGTGCTCGGCATAGTTTATAGGATGTGGCGAATTATTTTATATTCATTTATTTACCCTTTGTTGATTACATTACAAAAAAATGTTTGGTATAAAAAGCGGACTTAATGCCATATGAATTTTCTCTCAATTAAGCTTTGGAAAAACAGAAATGTATTTAAATATTGAAAATTATTGTAGGTAAATAGTTACAAACTGTCTGTATTGATTCCCAAATTATATAATAATATTGATTCAATTTAGAGTCTAACACCAGAACTCATATAATGCATTTGAATAATAATAATATTTTAATTACAATAAAATTATAGTTACGGATGGGCAAACCGTTGGACAGCGTACCCCAAGCGTTTCTTTAAAATAAATATCATTTAGTGAAAATGCTTATTAAGAAACAAGAAGTACATTAAGCTTAGATTATATAGATAAAGCATCGCCTCACAAAAACGGGTCAAGTTTTTGTCAGCTAATTGTCAAATTAGCTGACTTGTATTTTATCAGTGTTCTTACTTACGCACATAGTGTATCTTGACGTATCTATATTTAATTATTTAATAAATAGAATGAGTTTTTACGCATTAAAAAGATAAGAAAATTATCATTTTAAATTAATATTAAAACAAAATAAATATAGTAGTTATAAAGAAAACACTCATAACTATTTATCTCGCAAAATTGTCTAAAAATGTTGTTTTGAAGTAAGTACAAAATAAGTGTATATCTGTTATTAGCTTAATTTATTTAAATTAAAACGTAATTTGTTATTTTCATTCAGTAATAATTTTTAATTTTCTATATTATAAGTTATTAAATATCAATAAAGCCACTTTATGCTTATGACATATACCATATTTCAGAGTTAGTTTGTGCACTGGAGAAGGTAGGCGATGCCCGCAGGTTAAATGAGAGTTCTGTGGTCTAGACTCCGGGACGAGGCTTTTGTGTCTCCTGTTTCTTTATGTGTTTGTACATGTAACATGGTGTTTGTTTTACGTAATGCAAATTTTGTGCTGAACTGCAAGTACTATATGTTATTTAAACGCCGTTACAAATAAAGTTTATATATATTGAATATTAGTATTAATAAAAACTTATAAGAACAACCTTTAGTTGCATATTAGATTTTACTCGCGGTTAGATCGGTAGAAATAAATAAACGTATTTGCTGTATTGCTTCGATTGGACTCAATGATTTTTCTTTCAAATCATTAATTTGCATTAGTTATATTTAATTTAGATTTTCTCAGACCTCAGACATGTATATTATATGTAAAGATAAATAAAAATATCGTCCCAATTTGATTAAAAAGGTGATTAAAATGTATATATAGAGTACTCATAAAATTTGATAATGGCAAACGAGCTGTCAGCTTACTTCGTCGCCTATTAATAGTAATTATTTTATCACTATTTATTTTTATTGTACTAATTTATTGTTAAGAAAAATACAGTAATAAAGTATAGGTATTATAATTACCTCTCCATCCCCAGAGCCTGAGAACTCAGCGATGCTACCAGGTAATCCAGGAACGCCTGGAGGTCCTGGGGGTCCAGGGGGGCCTCTAATCGATTCTCCTGGTGGACCCTGTTGGAATGATAACATGAAACATGTTATGTGTATATTCTTTGTAGGTTACTTAAAATAACTATGTAATACGTAATAATATATTATTTTATTTGAGACAGTTAAAGAAGTTTGTCATTTGTACAAAGTAGTTGATTGATTAGCGCTTGAAATCCTTATAAGGGTATAATCCTTATTCCATATACATGCAAGAATAGTAATGTACTTAATCGTTAATTAAAATTTTAATATTGTATGAAATCTTTAATGATATAAATAAATGTATCTTAAGAGTGTGTAAAACACTTTTAACGTGTTAATTTTTTTTTGTACAGACAGGATAGCAAGCAGTCAAGAAATAATCCAACTGAAGGCAAATTGGTTATAATATCTATAAAAGTTTACACTTTGTTTGTTTACAAATGTTTATCGTTAAAAAAATATTTATTATATTTGTATTTATATCTGTATATGGTTGATGAATTTAACACCAGAACAGCTCAACCTACTATTGATTTATATTTGGAACAAACAATACACTTCCAAAAAAAAATAAACAATTATTTTCGAATAAAATTGTAAGTTATGAAGAGCTATCCGTAATTTTATCGAAATTGAATTACGTAGAAGTAGATACTCGAAGCTTGAAACGTAAGTGGCGTATCAGGTCAAGTGGGTTTGTACTCTCTATCAGCGGACACAGTGTTAAGTGCTGTAACGGCTGTATATCATGCGGCGAGTGGAGGGTTGAAAGTCCGTTTACACCGCTACAAGGGAAACACTATTATTTTCTGTTTATTTTCGCCGAGGCTTTTACAAACAATATTAAGATTACTTCCGTTACACTGTGTTTCGTTTGTATTTTTTATTAAGTTATGAACAAAATTCGTAATCGTTTAAAAGTACAATTGACTGTAAGAAAGCGTTGGAAGTATTTTTGACTGGTTAAAAATAATAAGGTAAATTATTTTTGTAGATTCATAGAAAAGTCATGTGCATGGTTTTTTCTTTAATGGAGGATAATGGAATGGTAACTCCGCCTGCGCTAATGGTATACGCTGGTGGGTCACCAGTAGGAGATGATAGGTGAGGATGAATGTAGGTCGGTTGGGCTATCATGACGAATTAGATAGAAATTAGCCATGATGACTTCCAAGGAAAACTGCGTGGAGGTCGACCTGATTGTTAACAATAGGGATTTTAAGTTCACTAAGTTAACTATCAACAATCCCTCTCCCTGCCGTCTGTACCCCACATGTTTTCTTTCTGTCACGATAATAAATTTACTTGCATGACTGTGATTCGGTTTTAAATATAGTATAGAGGATTGCAATTACAAGGTATGGAGTTATAAAACCATAATTTTAGGAATAACAACGCAAAAATATCATAGCATATTTTGTTATGTTCATAAGTGACGGTTACTACTTTCCATCCGGTGAGCCTTCAGCTTATTTGTTATTCTAAGTGGGTATCATAAAAAAACACGAGAGTAGTAAGAAGTTTTGAGTGTAACATATACGGCGTTATACATGGCATTTTTAAAGAATACATATTTAATAAATTTATCATCACTAATATAACAATGTAAGAGTATCCCACTGATGGGCATAGATTTCCTCTCCAATGTACAATAAAAAAAAGTAGGGTTATTTTAGCGCGGACTTTTTAGAGGGTATACTTAGTAAACATTTTTAGTATATTACGCAATGTAATTTAATGGTTTATTATAGTACATTAAATTTGTTACATGAAATTGAAAACTGTCCTTTATTAGTGTCAGGGGAGGAGATACGAGTATTAATACTACAAAACGTATGTATTCAATTGTACGTCATTTATCGATCAAATTTTACGCGTCTTATACGACCTGTGACGTAACAATCCGCAGAAATAATTAGATATAGAAGACGTATATATAATATCTCAATATATATAATTATTAAGTATGCTACTACGGAAATTTTTACAATGAAGTTATAAAAATTATTGATTGGCTATCGATACTTCTTTCACGATAAAACTTCTCGAAAGTACTCATTAGTACAATGTATAATTTTTTATATCTATGTCATAACACGTAAAGATTAAGAATAGGAACTTTTACCATTCTATTTATTTCAAGGTAAGAAGCGATTATAACAACAAAGCATTGAACTCTAACAAGAGAAAGAAAACTCAAAATGAAAACTAAGAAAATGGGACGTTATTTATTTAATGGGCTCTTATGGACTTGCGACATCTATTTAAATATATATCCGTGTAATAACCCAATACTTGACGAGGATAGGGAATTAAAACCTCGTTGCGGCCTCGTCCAGTAATCGTTCCGCTGTAATTAAACAGTCTCACAGGGTAGGGCGGGGTTATTGTCGATAAATTGAATGGCGGGACAATGCATGCTCGGTCTTTGTGTATAACAGCGACTGCAAGTTATGAGTTCTGATCCGACTTTTGTTGGTGACCGCGATACCGTACTAACGTGATTGTAATGGAGAATTTATGTGGTTTCAGTAAATGGAGTCCAGGATTTTGTTCTTATTCAGGCTCATTTTTCAGTCTTGGGCAGGAAGGTGTTTATTATACAAGGAAGTGGTAAACAAATTATTTGATGGTAAACGGTCACTGTATCCAATGGATGCCTGTAATACTAGGATAGTCACGGGAACATTGACAATCCTGAACAAAGCTTGATACATACACCCTTTTTGAAGGTCTTTTGAGGTTGTGCACCCGGATGTTCTTCTTTAACAGAATCTTTAATAGTAGATATTGACATAACAGTAATGATATAATAATAAATGACTATGTTATGATTGAAATCTCTGATAGAGTAGCCGGAGGCATTTGTCGATTACTATTTTAGGGAACATCGTGACATTCTCACATTTCCTGATATTAGAATCTAACTGGTGGGAAGCCTGCCACTGTGTCTCGGATTAATTTGGATAATCAGATTTGATCTTAGGATAAATCCTAATGATTTATAGATCAGGATAGTATATGAATAAGCCATAATAGTTTCCTTATATAAACACTAGATTTTGCCTGCGACTTCGTACATGTGAATTTTGGAAGTTTTATCCAGCTAAAAGTTGAAATTCCTTTCTTATTGTTCAGCAACGCCATATAAAGTCCCTATCGGTAAAATTTTAAGATTCTAGACTTAGCGGCTTCAACTATGCGTTAGTATATGAGTCAGTCAGTCAAACGGCATCTTTTTTTATATATACAGATATGAAAATCCTGTATCTCGATGCTCGTTTACGGTAATAATAGATTTTAATGAAATATGTATTGTTTGCTCCAAATTGAGAGACAGTATAGTATTTATCTCGATAAATAGAGCCGGTAAGTGGCTACGGTAAACAGAGTTCGTCGTATTATCTAGCGTTAGTATAGTTATTACTTTCCAAATGAAGTCACTTATTATATATTTTAACTTTATTTGGTGTGTAATGAAAATCGTTAGCACCCTTTTAACGGACTGTTCTAACATTATTACTAAACAATTTCCTTAAATATATACAGATAAAAAAAACGAAAAAAAAAAACAAATTTATCTCCCATCCAACACTAATACATCGCTTCTATGTTTTAAAAGGATAGTGACGATTTCATCCTATATATAAATACATGTTAATTTATTTCAAATGTTCGTGAGGGTATGTTTATGTAACATAATTAAATATGAAATATCTTGCCCGCGGGCCACGTTCGCCTTTTTCGCCTCGAAGTCGCAATGGATACCCTGAAAATAATAAGAAACATATATATATATATTTAATAAGTTTGCTTTTGTAGATTGAAAGGGAGCTTTAGGGCACGAAGTTAATTATATGTAAATGATTATAAAATAATATTATGACAAGACTGTGCCTGTATATTATATTATCATTAATGAATCTTTGAATGGAACTTGGTAAGGTAATAGATTTATACCCATTCAGTTAATATAAAGTAAAATGAAAGAACAGATTAGACAATAACAACATGAAAATATTAAAATAATAGATGTTAGACTTGAATGAGGAATTGGTTTTCACTGCGTACCCTGTGGTGTGGTATAAATCTCTGCAGATTTAATCGATATTCGATGATTCCTTGATTAAGAAATAAGGCATTGTGTTTATATATATTTAATTTGGAAACATTTAATATTTATGTCAGAATACATATTATTTTATGTTTGTTTATGTACATATTATTATTTACGTAAAGTATTTTTATATTTTGTATATATGTAGTAATATTTTAGTATATGTTTTCAATACTCTCTTGCATTATTGACGTCCACTCAAGACTTCCTATGTCTCTGTGTTGGGTTAACTTAAAGAGATCTCTTTTAAAGATAAGTTCATCTTTATATATATTAATTGTACAGAAATAGATTAACAATTGGATGTTATTACTGCATTTCTGAATATAATAAAGAATATATAAAATTTGGTTACTGTATACTTAGTTTAAATAAAGTTACAAAGGGTTCTGAGAGACCATAGACTTTCCGACTTTAGTGATAAGAATAGTGATTATTGAAGGAAATAAATTATTTCGTTGTTAATGATAGAAAAAAAACAGATTATATACAAGTTGTCTTATTGTATTCTTCTATCTCACTCGTGTTTGTGTTGTCAAACAGTTGTGTTTGCATGGCTGTGTTTCGATTTGAAGGGTGTGATATGGCAATGAAATTAGAGGGTATAGAGGCATAACATCTTAGTTCTGAGGAATGGCAATTCATCAAGAGTAAAATGGGCAAAACAGAATACTCTGTTAGTTACTCTATTAGGTGGCAAAATATTAAAAGGAAAATATACTGACGTTATTTTGATATTATATAAACTAACCCAGTGGATTGTTTTTACAAAATTTCAGGCATTCCTGACTTGGCGCCGATGTTTATTTTGAATAGAACGAATAGGTATTTTGTTCTCAACTGCAACATTTGTGTGTTCAGTTTCTAGTTCCCATAAACTATAGATCATAGATTTATCTACTGAAATGTTGCGGAGTTTGTTTATTTATTTAGATTCTATGTTAATGTTTCATTCATAAAAAGCTTCCGTGTTCTCACAGAATTTTTTTTAATGCAAACATGAATATAGAACATCTATTTTTAAGTGTATAAAATAAATTATAATGTATTCGCAACAAACAATGAATATCAAAATCCCAACGGATAAAGAACTACAACTATTAACAATACTTTAAAGAGTCCAGGGTTAGACTTTTTTGAATCGAAAGTAAAATAAAGTAACCCTGTCTGCACTATCGGTAGCCAGCCAGTATGGCTGGCTACCAGTGATGGATGATAGATAGTTGGTTCATTGTGACAAATTCATTAATAATTAACTATGATGTTTCCTAAGAGAACCGTTTGGTCGATCCGATAAGGAATATTGCCAGTTTGAAGGTTTTCTTTGTGTTTTTGTTAAAATTATACAATCTAAGTAGTAGTTTAAAAATTAAATAAATATGTGTAAATTTAGTGATTAATATATGCATGTCATTGAATGTGGTGATACATAATAGACATCTTGTAAACTTGGCAAATGCAACATTTTATCTACAATGTTTTTTGCAAATAAATTTCATTTCATTTCATTTACATACCAGAGATTTTTTATGTGTGATAATACCATTTACTATTTTGTTTACTCCACCTGTGTTGTTAGTATACGTTGGCAGAGTATAAAGTCTATGGTTGCTACGTGCATAAAATAAATTTTTAGCTAGAAGTAAAAAACTGTTTACGTACCGTCCAATCCTGGTGGCGGAGGAGGAAAAGGTGGTATTGTGCCGTAGCGGCCTGAACCTTCGTCACCATCTTCCTGGTCCACCTGTTCAAGGGTTATTGTAATAAAATGACAACCATCAGTTCATGTTTTTATATATGTTTTAATACTAATAATGCGTATTAAATTTATTTATAATACAGATTATCGTCTTTACTCATATACTAATTGCGGTATTGCTCGACCAGCTTCGTGAACTGAGCTTATGAATAAGGGCAACTGTTAATAGTAAATCAATACATGAGTAAAGACGGTATATTATATATTTCACGAAACTATATATTATTATTATTATTACAAGGTATATATGATTCACGATAGTCAATAATGTGTTCTTATGATATAGGCACCTATGATAACAATGTAATATTTTATTAAAGAATAAAAAAAAACGTATAATTAAATCGTATTTTGTTTCTAATAGGAATATGTTTAATTAAAATGTAATTTTCATAATGAGAAATAGTATGTTAAGCTCTCAAATGTTCGGCTAGGAAATTGAAATATTTATTAGTTTTGAAAAAAAAAAAAAAAAACTTTTAGAAACATATAATAAACCTATTTATATATTTTTAGTCTTTATAAGTGATTTCTCCGCGTGTTTTTTATCGTAGTACATAAAAAAGAGTCGCATAAATTCAACTATTACCGTGACAAACACTGTACTTATAGAATCAACACGAAAGCAAATCCAGTAGATTGCAAAAAGAATAAATATTATTTAATATACACATAAAATATACATTTATTTATTCTTTATTGAGTTTATTTAAAAATATATGTTTCATACAAAAGGACATAATGTTACATAGCATTTTGTCCCAGTCAATCTTTGGAAAAACAGAAATGTAATTAAGCGGTAAAAAATAATAAAAATTGATGTAAGTAAATAGTAAGATTTGTTTGAAGTAAAATCTCCTATTTAAAATTGCCTAAAAATTCAAGATACATAATCTATGTGTAGTATTTAGTAAAAATTAGGAGTTAGTACTATTAATGATATTATTACTTTATTAGTTATAATTATTTTATGTTATTTAATATATTATATATATAGTATAAAAATTCACATTTCCTAATTAATTATATTGTTGCATAATACAAGAATTTAATGTTTAGCTAAATAGTTAATAAATACAAATATATAATAAGCTATTATAAACCGTATTTACAATAGTATTATTTTCCAAATTTATTAGAATGGACTATTAATTTATATAATTTCGAATTACTATAATTTGGGACACAAATAACTTTTATAGGTACGTATTAAACTCGTATCTAGATTCACGTATAATTAGAAATGGTCCTTTAGCGTAAACACCTAGGGATTTATAGCAGTAACCTGAATTAATGTTGGCTCTAAATTTTCACCATTTTGTTTTTACCTGACTCGAGTTGGTGAAGAGTAATTAAGTATGCTATCTTTCAACAGCGTTGGAAATTGATACTGAAAATTTATCTTTTATGTGCGAGTATATTTTTTAACCTGTCTAGAGATCTTCATAAAGGTATAATATAAACTAAACTATAAATCTTAACAAAAATAATGAAAGGCATATAACAGCGAAAGATCTAACACGTGTTTATATTTTAGATTCCCTAAATCTGTTTATAATTAATACTCTTATTCAAAGGTTGTCTGGAAGATACTGCCATGAGACCGTGTAAAATGTTCTTACAATTTTCATAAAAATATGACTGTTACAATGAATTTTATATTTCCGTTAACAAATCAAATCTATTCATGTACTATCCTACGTATAAGCACTTTTGGGTGCAACTTTTATATGGGAATATAAATTTTAAGGACTTGTATTGGAGTTATTAGATTCTGAATACATATTCATCATTATAAAATCATTATGTATTGTAGTGTGATATTTGGGACAGTATTGATCGTATAGATATTTTCAGTAAACACTTGTTTTTTTTTTATTGTTATTGTTTTACACTATTAAGTTAACCAGCTACAGTGCTTTTTACTGGTAGCCAGTGCTTTAATGTCACTTTTAAGGGCAAGATTGGTTTTCTGTTGAAGTTTCTGTAACAATGATTTATATAAAAATATTTCTTAACCCTTCTTTGCATGATTTTTTTATTGGTATTTAACCAATCAAGGTGATATAATTCATATTTAAAATTAAAGGATAAATGGTTAAAAAAATATATTTGACAGCTATGTTTTTTTTTCTGCAATGGATATCAAAAAGGTATCCAGACACGATCAATTTGAAGTGATTTGTTATTTTAAATAAAAAATATAATTTTTGGGCATTCAATGTTATGATGGAATTTTCCACCATTATGCAAAGAATATAATATTTGTTATAATTTATTATACTAAAAAAATCAAGGGATTTGAAAGTCTTCGAATACAAATTTGTATTTTGTATTTGATTTCACAAGAAAATCGACTTCTTTCTAAACAAAATTAGTAAAATTCATATTACACGAGAGTCAATAAACCTTATTGATTAAAACGATTAATCAGAACCGATACAGGCTTGGATAAGATATCGAGTGACATGCCGTAAAAGTTCCTTTTTTAAACAGGTTTAATATAAATAGAGGGTATACAAAATACACATAGTAATGCAAGTATTACAGGAATTTGAAACCCCAATTTTATTTCAACTGGCATCCATTGCAGGGTATTCAAAACTTCCGATACAATGTAATAAATATTCTCTTTTATTGTTTGGAAAATCCGATAACAACTTTAAATGTTGTCACAGTGTACAGTTCAGCTCGGTGTAAAGGAAGTATTATTACCATTGAGGTATTCCAATGTTGAAACTAATCATACTTAAGTTGCATGTAGTGATTCTATTGTGAAATGAGATACGGTACCACAAAGGCCCATTAACGTTCCATGGTTCGAATATGGGTCCCCATAAAAGAATGATACTAATTTACTATTATCACATTGGCCAAATGAGTTGATATAGAATTTATTTAAAACTAGTCTGGATTGAGATATATGACACCCATTGGCTGCATTTATCCATACATCAATGCCACTTTATATTATTAAAGTAATGCTTCAAAAAGATATATTAAATTATAAGTATTTTAAAGTGAATCAAATGCATTGTAGGGTGTTAATGGATGCAGGTGATTCTGGACATTCTTATGGCAGTCTATGAGGGGGGGGGGGGGGGGGGGCTATATTCAGTAGCGGACAGAAAATGAGAAAAAAGAGGCGACTAAGGGAACTTAATAGCCGAGTAATTGGAGTCTCTCTCTTAAGACATCACCTAATCCCAACTGTGGTTTCCATCCGGCCTGCCAAATGAGGCAACTATTGGACCCCCCCCTATGAGGAAAGATTATGTTTAGCAGTGAACGTATGACGATGATGATAAGAAACAAAGAGTTCTAGATTTTCGTATGATATCTGGTTTTGTTTTAAATTAAATTTAATATTTTAATAATATGGAAAAAGTTTTTTTTTGTTCCAATATGAATGTTTAAAAATTTTGCTTGGCTTTTGATATTTTCTGTAAACAGTAATTTCTGTAAATAGTCCGAAATTGAAATGATTGCACAAAAATGTACATATGTCAGATAAAGTAAAAATTAATAGGTCTGAAAATGTGTGGGATTTCTGTCCAGATTATAGAGCAAACGCACTACGTTTTATCTGTAATAAATAATTTATGTGGCAACTACATTATGGACTATTTCACAATTAATTACCAATTCAAATCGTTTGTCCCATCATACATTTACTGTGGTCGCCATTTAGTGGTTTTATAAGCCATTTCATTGGCATTTTGCTATAAAAGGACCGAACAATACAACATTGTGTCACTTATATGAGGTGATTTGGTCATTTCAAAAATTTAACTATTATTGCTAAAAAAAATCAAGTACAATTACTGCAGAATATCGACGTGGAATAGGTAAAATATTTTGAGCGATACTTAATGAATTTTATAGGAAAACAAAATATGAAACGTAATGAAAAGGGGGCAATAAGTTATAACAGAGAGTATAGTGAATATGTAATGTAGTAAAACTGTTAATATCTTTATGTATATTTTTTATCATAATTTTTATAAATAAAAATATAAAACGACAGAAGTTAATCTTTAAAAGTTATGAAGTATATAAAGCAAAGAAATTTCTGTTGTTGGTCATTTTGCGACATGGCTGTCATCATCATTATCATCATATCAAGCGTTATCCGTCCACTAGTGGACATAAGTCTCCCCCATAGACTGTCATAAATAACGGTCCTGAGCCACCTGTAACCACTGATTCCCTGCAATGCATTTCAGGTCGTCTTCCATCTAGTGGGAGGTTGTCCTACAGTGTATCTGCCCGTACAGGGTTGCCACTCAAGAACCCTTCTTCCTCATCGCTTGTCGGTTCTTCGAGCTATGTGACTAGCCCATTGCCGTTTCAGCCTGCTTATCTTTCAGGCTATGTCGGTTACTTTGGTTCTTTTGCGGATATTCTTGTTTGGTCAATGCGACACTTAATACTTTTTTAACGTCGATATAAGAGTTGTATGGCACAGATATCAATACAGAGTAAACCTTAATTAATTCAATTAATTATATATTTCCTTAATTTCAATTCTTCAAATCGGGTTGGCCGTGTGGTTCTGGCTTAAAATGAGCCATTCCTTTTTACACGTGGGTGCCGTAAGAGGCGACTAAGGGAACTTAATAATCGAGGGAAGGTCAGCAGCGTCCATCTTAAAACATCACCGAAGCCTAACTGCAGTTGTCAATCCGTTTGCCAAGCATGGAAACTACTGGTAAAACACCCCTAATAGAGAGGCCTGTGTTCAGCAGTGGACAGTTAATGGCTGATATGGTGATAATAAAATCGGGTACACACATACATACTATTAAATTAATTAAAAATCTCTATCTTGACAAAATAGCAACACAAATGAACGTCATTTATTAAGTGTACTGTAAGAGGAAAAAGTTAAATTTAATTTGTATTGTTTCTGTTGTACTTATAGCAAGCAAAAAAAATCGAGCAATATTCGCTTTGATGGTTTCGTTTCGAACTCTAGTAATACA